CAAGCGCCGCAATCAATTAATGGCGATTTTTCAAGCCATTCGCGAATTCACTCGGACCGCGTCCGAGTTTGGAGTCATCCCTGCCAACTTCAAGGTGGACCCGTTGGGAGATGTTTGGTGGGCCTTGGCAGAGGGTTCTGAGCTGCGTACCTTCGCTTCAGCTTGGAGTGTTTTAAAAATGAAATTTACTGATTTTATTTTACATCTGGAACGCGCGCAGAAGGCAATCGCGTCGTCCCAGTCGCTGGGCCATTCCCCCAACCCGATCCGAGTCCAAACGACCCAGCCCAGCCCAGCCCTCCCTCCCAGCTCAGCTCCCCTCCCTCCATCGTCGCGTCGACCCCAGGAAACAACGCGTCAGCCCACTGCGACGCGATCCATTCCTGGTTTCGCCCAACCGCACCCGGCAGCCCCACCTCCCTCTCCCACCACCTCTCTGCGTCGTCCAACGGCCCCACCACGACCGTGTCTGGCTGTCCCACCGTCGATTCCGTGGCACTCGCGCCCAATCCAACCGCGCCTGGCCATTCCACCCTCAATCCCATGGAATTCGCGCCCGATCACAACGTGCGCATCGTTCACAACGTGTCATTTGCCCCTCCAACCACGTCTGGCCCCTCCCCCACATCCATCTTCGACTCCAGCGCGCCCGGCAAACGCGTTGCCGTCGTCGTCGTCGTCGTCCCCGTCCCCATCCCCACACCCTCCCGCGCCAAATCTGGCGCGTCTATCGACTCTGACGCGTCCAGTACCACGACAGATGCGCCCTGCCCCCCCTCAGCCGTGCCCACCGTCAAAATGGGCGAGTCTGACGCCCATCCAGCCGCGCACGGACCCGGTACCACTTCCCCCTTCCAACCTTCCAAGTCGTCTGCATCCACCAGGTGAGCCACCACCCCCAAGTCCGCGTTTGCCACTCTCAGAGCCCTGGAGGCTGGACTGTGGGGGGCTGGGACCCTTTTTTTTTTTTTTTTTTATTATTATATTTTCTTAAAATTTTTCATAAAATTTATTTCTTAATCTAAACCTTGTGCCAAGCTTTCCCACCGGGTTTTGGTGCTGGCCAAGGGAATTTTTCTGTATTGTGGGGCTTCTCACAACTTTTCTTTCTTTTCTTTTCTTTTCTTTTCTCTTGTTGATGTCCTGCACAGAGACCCATAAGAGCCTGGGGGGCGATGTTATGGAAATGGGATTTTCCCATTTTTAGCCTCTTATGGGCTCTATGCAGTACAATATCACGTGACATGTAAATAATAACAACTGAACCAACTATTATCACCCAAAACACTCAATGTCCATGTTATTGTAAACCCCACTGTTACAACATCTGTTACATTAATTGTAACATCTTCTCAATGTCACGGCCCCCTCCTGCACCCGGATGCTATAGAAATGGGCCAATTAGGCCCCATTTTTATAACACTACCGAATCTGCAAAAACCTCAAACAAACACTCACCTACGTCTCTCTTGGACATCAAGGCTGAGTATTATGATGTGAGGGGTCTTAGACGTAAGAAACTAGCTCAATGGGGGCGTTAGGGTCGTGGATGGCATCTTTGCCACTTGGATGCAACTTCTGCTTGTCCCTTCACGGGTCTATTCAATACTAACTTGTTATGTACAAGCTGTTATCTAGTTTATATATGTTTGAAATGGAATGAATGGCATGGGGGGATCTAAACGGGCCGTTAGGCAACCGTAAATGATGAATATCCAATTGGGAACAAAGAAACAATAAAAGAAAAATGAATGAATGGGGAATATGTGATAACGGGTCCGAAATGGGAAATGTAAAAGTTAACTCCGCAACGCTTCGCCACAGCGCCCGCCTATCCTCCCATCAGCAATCTCCTCATCTCCAGCTTTCCAACGAGCCCCTATTCATCCCATTTGGTGCAGTACTTCTTGAGATGTGGCCATTGACAGGTGCTGTCAAGACCATGTGAGAGTATACTCTATGCTGAACCATCCGGATATGGGATTGCCATTCTGGGAAATGCTCCAGGGGTGAAGAAGGGTGGTAGAGCATCACTATCAGGTGGAAAAACGGCTGGGTTGTGAGTGTGGGTGTGGAGGTCTGGAGAGGGGGTGAAATTGGGGGCATGGTTGGGCATGGGAATTTTGCTTGGGGTTGTCAGGAATGATGGGGAAAATAAGGAAAAATATGGAGTGAGTGTATGGAGTGTTGGATAGTGATAGAATGAGTATCGGAAGCGTCAGCGGGTATGTACTGCATGTTGGTGACCAAATTCCGCAGAATCCGACTTTTTGCGGTACATGGAGTTGTCCCCACAACAACACAATGTTCTCACGTTCTATATTCAATACAAAAGATCACATGGTATGGAGTTAAACACATAGCCAATCACCTACTCCGAAAATTTGGATGCGACACTTTGCTCCTCCGACTGGGGCAAAATGTAGTATGGCTGTGCTATGGCACTGTCCGGCCTCTGTCTTCCCATGCCAAACAAGCTCGCTTCAAGGCTCTAATCATCACACCCCTCCACAAGCCATCACAGAAAAAATCCAAAACAAATGTAGTAGTTAACCCCATCCAAAATTAACTCAGTCCAACCCAGCCCAACCCAATTCATATGCTTCTTATTCTTATGTGGTAAATTATGTTGGAATCTTGTATTGCACACTCAGCATTTTGTCATTATTGAGCCCAGTCAAGGGAAAAACATGGTAGAACTACCTAATCATAGTCCAATCCTGCTCTGGTGTTGATCACTACAATATCCTCACCCCAAGAAATTGGCCGATGAGGTGAAAAAGAATATTATTTTGAGCGCACAATACAAGATTCCAACATAATTTTACCACATAAGGATAAGAAGCATATGAATTGGGTTGGGCTGGGTTGGACTGAGTTAATTTTGGATGGGGTTAACTACTACATTTGTTTTGGATTTTTCTGTGATGGCTTGTGGAGGGGTGTGATGATTAGCGCCTTGAAGCGAGCTTGTTTGGCATGGGAAGACAGAGGCCGGACAGTGCCATAGCACAGCCATACTACATTTTGCCCCAGTCGGAGGAGCGAAGTGTCACATCCAAATTTCCAGAGTAGGTGATCGGCTATGTGTTTAACTCTGTACCATGTGATCTTTTGTATTGAATACAGAATGTGAGAACATTGCGTAAAGAGCTATTATTTTGCGTGTCCACGGAGCTCCTCCAACTGGGTACAAGTCTGGTTTAAAATATGCGTCCAAGCGCTGCACGTTGTATACCTCCACTTTGAGCTGCTTCTACACATCTGTATGTAGGTGAATTATATTACATACCAACAGCTCCAAAAATATCATCAACACAATTGTTGATCAGACAGATCCTTCCGAAAGGCTGTGATACCTTTGGAGCTATTGGTAATATGAATGACCTCATACAATGTGTGGCACTTGGACGCACATTTGAACCAACCCTGTGAAAAATTTTTGGCCTGAAACATAGCGGTGTAGTGCCTAGAGTACTTACAATAACACTGGAGTTGCTAAAAACCCAAGCGATGTAGGTATAGACACACAGTGGTGAGCTCAAAATATTAGGAGAAAGGTGGACGTCCCACATACCTCATGCACAGATGCACGATCTACATGATTCCCTTCTTGGTAATTCTCTTCCAGCTGCATCGCAGAAGGCTTAAAAGCCGAAACTTTTTCGTCTTTATCTCTCTCAGTTCGCTTGCTAAGAACTGAGATGAGATATCTTGTTCTTCATTGTCTTGGACAATGACTTAAATATCCTAGCGCTTACACCGTGCTGAGCAGATAAAAAAAACAATTTAGTTCACTTGCTAAGAACTGAGTGCTTACACCGTGCTAGCATTTCTCACACAATAATGCAGGTATGCAATGTACGAATTTCACTCCGAACAAGCAAAAAAGTGATGGTGTGGTGCCTAGTGCGTTCACAACAGCGCCAGAGTCGTTAAAAATGCAATTGACGTATTTATAGACATGTAGCGGTAAGCTCAAAGTCTAGGTCGAGAAAAAATACCACACCCTGTCCCCTACTGTGGAATCCAAGCACTGTTCCGGGTGCGGCCATACTAAGGTTCACAGATGTGAGATAGAAGTGAGAAATATAATTTGGGGCAATGTCCGTGCACATATATATACACAACGGAATGAATTAAGAGGCATCCTGTGCAGACTGCGCGCTTAGTAACATCCGCTGCCAACAGACTTCCAAACGGATGAACCTTCTCAATCATACAGGAATATAGTTTGGTGGCCCTTCAGAGGTTACCTTTGCTCAGGAGTGGAAGAGTACCATGCGCGTCACTTGCCTGCTTCCAGCATTTACTTTCCCTTCCACACCACGTACCATATGCGCACACGACTGGACTCAGACAATGCCCAGATCTTTACATTTCCCTGTCCACTGCTGCAACCTTCCCACCATCAACAATGCAGCATTTTCTTGTTCTAAATAGCGCTGTAGCACTTCTCAAGTGCTTTACACGATTCACTCTCAATTCTGATTGATCTATGAAGGCTTAATGCAATAGTCAGATCTCGCAAACGAAGGCACTTTGCCTATCCTTTCTTCTGTGCATCTCCCATGAGATTTCCGGATATGGACCAGTCTCTTCAACATGATCGACAATACATGCACATGCACCAGGAACAATCGCAGCGCGAGCGACAATGACTGGATATGAGCCTGAGTCTGGGTTCGGAAAGATAGGGGAAAAAAATAATGATCACCCTGATCGTTTTGCGTTGACTTCCCCCACGTGAACATCACCAGAATTCAGTTCAGACCTAATTCAGTTTCACTTGTTCTCACGAGTTTCGAGACCGATAATTTTTAATTTCTCAACAAGTTGGCCTTCATCCCCTTTAGGCCTAGTCTTGAAGGATGGATCCTTTCAGCCTTGCGCTTCCCCTGTATTGTTCAATCACTTCGATTCCATGCCTTCACATTGTTTTGTCTGTCGACTGAAAGGAAAGGTGTGTCTCTTTCAATATGTTTATCAGTACATCTTTACCCGGACAAGTATCCTTCCTCATTCTGCTTCAGTGTTTGCTCGCTCCGCAGCCATGGCATTACTCGATTGAGAACGTTCGGCATCAAAGGCGCTAAAGGCGCATTCTTGCGTGGCTAATGTTCTACACTGCTGTCGCGGCATGGGGAAGACCAACTCCGTGTGTCATAAGACCAAGTCAGGATGCATCGCGCCTCGGTCTTGTTATATATATGACACACGCCCTATAGCCTCCATCATATCCGATAGTGCAAACGAGTTTCTTGCTCAACATCATTTTCACAACTTTGTAGGGATGTGTCCAGCCCTTAGATTGCCAGCCTTGTGACGCATGCCACCGCATGCATGTTGAATGCATCCCCTGCCCGATAAAGATTTCAAATGCGGTCAAAGTACGCGTTCGTCATTGTAGTGAAGGTCCGTATGATAGGCGAAGCACTGAGAATAACTTTGTAGAAATCGACCAGAGCTCGGGAGTGTCTGGAGGAGGTCAGGGCCTTGACTTCAGGCGACCCCACATGTGTTGAGATAGGTACGTCCCTCTTTCTGAATGTTGTCATCCCTTCTCCATTTCACTCTGTTCAATAGCGCTGCTCCCCAGAACGCGAGAGTTCCTTTCATATCATTTCGCCGACATTGCCAACCACAACCCATGGATGGGTAAACCAAGTGGAGACTATTTCAGCCATCGAGGGATCCCCCATCATAGTTCCACTGGCAAACGAACTCGGAAATGTGCCACTTACCAATGCTCCTGCAGCCTTCTACCCACCTTCTACCTTGGGATTATACGAATACGTCGGGAACATCGACCAATCGTCCGTCTTGGATTTTGGTTCAGTCCCCTATCCTGCAGCTAGCTCTTCTACTCGTGAGTTTATTCCCCATTGCCCCGTTTCCCTCCTGGTTCCCGTGCAAGAGAGGGCATCCTGCGGCGAAAATTGGGATTTTCTGATGCCAGACATTGCTGCTAACTATGAGCTTGCAGGACCATCTACTGCGTTCCATTCACAATCACATGCCTCCCCTCACGAAACTCGTGGTGAGACTCTGGGAAATGCTGCGAGTTGGAACGAGGATGCTGTGAGTTGCCTTGGAAGTCTAGCTTGGAGTATGGGATACTGCCTCATCCCTCGCGGAGCGGCCATTCCCGATGGTGGTGCTCTTGTATAGGGGAATTCCTTTGAGGGTAAGTGCCTCGTGTTTCCCTGCACGACTCAATGATGACATGAATTATTCATGTGGGTAGCGATTCTCTGTGCCCTTTCTTGAAACATCATCAATGGTTTGGAAATTTGTAAATTCTGTGCTACCTTGAATCTTCGAGTGCTTTTACAGACTCGCGATGAATGTACTTGTTTTCAACCCCTGTGCCTGCATGTTTGCTAATATATATATCCGACTGACTGCTTGCTCTTAAGGTAGTCAACACACTTCATTTCCCCAGAGCACTTTTCCTACGATGCAGCTCTGCATTCTGCGCGTTCATGTCATTCCCTCATCCTCGCATGCGTTGAAAGTGATTCGAAACGTAGACGGCGCATTCCATCAGAGTTTTCAAAACCAAGCTACAATACACTCTTGCACTCACACTGTCCGACCTACCGTTTTTTTTTCCAAATCTTACCGCTGAACCAACCTGCACTGTCGTATTGCCTTGGCTTCTCTCGATCCCTGATCATGAGTAAACGTCAGACGACTGAACTGGACGTACACCTAATATATCAGCCTCTCCAAGCTCATGCCACCGACGCCCACTTCCAATGGCGTCTCACCGGTCCCACCAATTACTATGACAGTGCACTTTGACCGGGCTCGGACCTTACCAATTTAGGCAGCTTCGCGCATCGCGCATGTCACATCTACGGACACCGGCGCCTGATAGCTCCTCCAGTTGCTGACTTTCCCCTGCCACTAGACTAACACTGCCTGCCCACTCTAGCGACGTGATATATCACGCAATCTTCATCGGCAGCTCTCACTGGCACGGCCTTCTGTGCGCGCCCACCATGGAATGCCTGGTGTCTCTTGCCACATGTCACAGTTCTGTGGGGCAGCATGTAGATACATGGCCTGCAAATTCTCCTTATAGAAACTATACCCGAATGGTATATTCAAGCGGTCGCGCGAGCGGGCGCCACGCTCATGATCGCATGAGCATGTTCGTGATATAGAAACCACTCGTAACATTAGCTTCCTGGCCAACTCGAAAGGCGCGCATGGAGTTGACGGGCCAGCGCTGACTGGTCGCGATGATCACCTAGTTCAAATGCCACGCGATACTGAATTCCGAGCTGCAGTCTTGGTCCCCAACTATTTCGTCGCTCCTATCCTGCGGCGCTGTTCTCCCTCACGTACTGATAACAATGTGTAGTGACCATCACCTTCCGAGCTTTTTATCCAACCCCGATAAATGGCCCTTGCTGCCGATGATGATTTTTTTTCTGATCTCAGCTCACTTGATTAAGCGCGGACGCATCCTAGATATAGGCACGGAAGATCTCTGATTTAACAGTTTAGATCTATTCTATCATTTGTTATATGGGATGGCGTTGTCTGCGCTTGCGCTTCAGGGCTTGATTAGACTGTCGATAGTAGATCATCGACGTTGGGTAGTACAATTACCCGAGACATCATTAGGCCGCCATCAATTTATACCTGTCCGTAGTGACTTCGTTCACCGTGCTGAGCGGCGCTGTTGCAATTTCGGGATGGGTCTATTACACCTTGAGCTTCATGTCGGTTTACGGGTGATGGATTGCAAACAAACAACTCTTGATGCGTTCAAATTTCAAGGTACTGGGGTGAAGTCGTACGAGGTGGCTTGGGATGGTTATGCATGGAGGAAACACAAGACAGCACTTCGGTATATACGAGTGGCTGTATTCCGATGAGCCCCGTGGATGCAGCAATGTCTCGAATGGAGGGCGAGTTCCAGCTTGGGAGCCCGCAGATTGCCGCTGCTGCTCAAAAGTAGTGGTAATATGTACAGTACCAGTGGTTGTACTGAGGCTGGGTCGCATCACAGACTTAACCGGTGGACACCAAGTGCCCGCTGCTCTGCTGCTCCCACAAATCAACCGTGAAAACATGGCAGAATGAAAGCACTTGAATTTCGCATACTAAGTATCCAGCTATAACCTCTCGATGAGATCTTAGTCGACTGGTAGAAAGCCTGTGTAGTGTGGGCCAAAGCCCACCCATAAGCACTCTTCAGAGCAGCGTAAAATCGTTATCCGTTGTGTGCCGTCCGATATCGCACAGCATACCAAAGGCACAGTTAGGAAAGGAGCACGGGTGGACCCCAACATGTACACAGATTTCATTGGGTAGTGATGCAAAGACGGCCTTAGATCCAACATAATGGGGCGGTCATATTAGAGGAATACTGCGGGACGGGAGTGGAAATAGAACTCCGAGTCATTCGGAAACATTCACAGTTTGAGAGTTGATTGTACACATCACCATGAACGCATCCAATCCCTGTTCGCGTTTGGTCGATCACAGATACGAATAGCGAAGCCTGACCATAATTCCTCTAATGAACAGCCACACTGTCAGGCCACTGCGAGTTCAGAATAGGGGAAAGACTGACTGTGGCGGCTATAAGGACGACGCAGTCACCTCTTCTTTGGATCTCCCACCCTGCATGTGAGAGCCCAATCCGCAGAAGGCATTTTTCGGGACCCTCCTGAGTGAGCCGGGTTTTATCCCAGAGTCATGCGGCCCACGAGGAAGCCCATGACCTTTTAGAGCGTGTTGAGAAGTAGGATTGACCGAGCATACATCGCGCCAGTGGTACGGGAAGCTGATTCGTGAATGATCCGACTTTTCGCACGTCATCTAGCTATGAGTAGCTCCTCAATCAAAGTGAGAGTTCTACAAATGGGTTGTGCTTCGGTTTGCGAGAGCTTCTCCGCCCATCGAGTAGCAAAAGAGCATCTCCAATCGTCGTACTAAATTTCAACAGTGCCAGTGGTAATGGTGGGTGGAGAAGTTTAAGATTGGCGCACATGCACAGGTCACAATTGAAGTATCAGAGGTCCCGGGCACTGGAAGGAGCGTACCTTAAACCCATGGTGGCCGATCCGCCACCCTATATAATAGCCATTGAATTCTGACATCAAGCCACAGACAGTGTGGAAAAAACCCTGAGTCTTTGAGATGCCACACATCTCATGGAGCCGTCTGACAACGAGGGATCAGTTAAAAAATGATGACGGTAGTTAAGTCTGACGGCCGGAATTTGAAATGTCAGGTGATCTGTTTCAAGCTGTCAATATTGACCATCAGAGTGGCCGTTTCGTCTTGCACCATCCTCCCGGAGATATATAGACTTAACTTTGAGAGATGGGTCTCTTTGGCCTTGCACTCCTCCTGATCTTCCCAACCATTTCGATTCCATGCCTTCACGGTGTTTTGTCTGTCGACTGAGACGAAAGGTGCGCTCTTCGATGTAGCATGGCGCGAATAAATTCTCTACATTCCATCTTAACCAGTACACCGGTCCCCTCTTCACCCATCGGTGCTTACCCACCTTAATGAACGCCCGACAGCTTGAGGATGCTTGGCTTGGAAGGCGCTCAAGGCATATTCCGCGCGGCCAAATTGTTATGCCTGCTTTCTGCCTCCGTTTACTAGAGCCCTACCTAATTTTGCTTGAAAACTCTCCAGGGATGTGTCCAGGCCCCAAGCCTTCACTCCTGTGATGCATGTCAACGCATGCACATTGAGTGTATGCCTTGCACAATGAAGATTCCCAATGTGATCAGAGTGCGTTTTTGCCATCGTGGCAGTATGATGAACGAAGGGATAACATCCCTATAGACATCGAACAGAGCTCGGGAGTGTCTGGAGGAGATCAGGGTCTTAGCTTCCGGCGATCCTCAGCGTGTTGAGACCGGTATGTGACGGGTCCTCATTTTCTGTTGTGTTGTCATTATGTGCATACCTTGTTCTTCTCTTCGTTCGATAGCACTCCTTCCCAAGACACGACAATTTCTTTCATATTTGCAATCGGAGCAATCGAGCCTCCGAGATGCAGCAACTCAGCCTGAAGCTGACCCGAAAATCCCAGCAATGGCCACTATCATTCCCCCCGCGGCTGACCTGCCAAATACAATTCACGGACGGGGAAATCAAGTGGATGCTATTTTAGCTTACGAGATGTCCGTTGAAGTTCCGCCAACAAACAATCTCGGAGGCTTGCCAGTTATTAATGAGGCGCCTCCTGCGGCCCCACCCTCTATGCTGGGATCATCTGGATCTGTCAGAACTGTTGGAGAAGCACCCCTGCTGCATGTCGGCACCCCATATCCCGCCCATATTCCCACTTCTGGGACAAGCTTCTCCATTGGCAGGACCATTTTCCCTAACTTAGCGCCCGCCTTCCATTCAGCGGCTCCCGACCATGAAGTGGTATCCTACAGCGAGAACTGGAATCCTACGGTGCCAGACAGCTCACATAGCGCCGTTGACTATGGAGATGTGGGACCTATTGCCCTCTATCCACACTTCAATGTCGCTTCGCATGAAACTCGCGATAGAACCTCAGGAAATGGTATAAATTGGGACGGAGGTGCTGTGAGTTTGCTTAGAGATCTGGCTTGGGATATGGGATATTGCCTTATCCCTCGGGGAGCCTGCATCTCCGATGGTGGCAATCTTGCATCGGAGTTCCATTTGGTGGTTTGAGCGTAAGTGTCTTTCTATTTCCTGCATGATCCAGTGACGATGAATTATTGCTGTAAGCCAGCCGATTCTATCCTGTGTTATCAACGTTAATGGCTTCAGTGTTTGGATATTCTACGCTACGTCCAATCTAATCTTTTGGCTTTCGTGCTTGTGTTAGTCATCCGATTCATTACTTGGTTGAGGGACCTATTGGCGTCACCTGCCTACCTATTGGCTAGCATTGCACTGTCCCTGATCTCCAAAGGCGGTTGTTCTTGAGTCCTGACACGCACCAAATATGATTCAAGTAGTTAACCAATTAGACATATTGCCTCGTGCTTCTATGCTTCCGATTCTTGTTCGGCTTTTTCCGTTGTCCATGACCAAATCGAGCCAAGTGAGCAATTTCTTTGGCCCCGCATTAGCCTGTGTTTTGACCGTGGGGCCACTACTCGCGTGTCTCAGGTAACAAAGGATTCCACCTCTAGAGGACATCCCAGGCTCCGCTTGTTGGTAAACTATTACCCATCTTGCAGTCCATCGGATAACCCCTAACCTGCACACGTTGGTGCAATTGGAGAACCAGGACTCTTCGCGGGTGCGCTGCTAAGAGCCTTGCTAGTACTTGCAAAGTAAACCAGAACCCAGCCCCCCGCCCCAAGCTGCTCAGCCGCTGATGCGATGCAGACCCCGCGGATCCCGCTTACCGCCAATAGGCCGATAAGACCATATTCCCTTGAGCCCAAGGAGATCTTCCGTTGGAAGTGCCTCGCAGGTGAGGATATTTCCAAGCTAACGATGTAGAACTCGATACACCCGACGTGCTCCGCAAGGCCCCCTAGGTCGGTGGGAAGTGGTTGGTCAGACCCTGGTAAATGGGAACAAAACTATGAACATATTTAATGGTGTTCAGGATGCTCACGTGAAGCCGCTGGGAGATTCATACAAAGGACACATTTAGAGATGATACGACAGGCATACTCAGGCCCAGGCTCAGGCTCAGGCTCAGACGTAGTCGCTGACTCAGGTCTGCTTGATCTAGGTCCAAGCAAGTCAGCCTGGTTGAGATCCCCAGACTTCAGGGTCAACTCAACGTACTCCGGATTGCTCAGGCATGTCCAACAACGCCAGCTCGCGTGCCCCTCTCCCCTTGCGACATGTCTCCGTGTAAGAACACTGTCCGGACACCTTGGCTCAGCACCGTCAACGAATCGAACACTGTCCAACATCGTGTCCAGGTCCGCAGCGCACCATGAGCCCCAAGCGTTGAAGGAGCGCATCCGTTGAAGGCGCCCGCCACCCAACTTATTGTTCCTTTGTCCTATGCGTCACCACTTCCTCCACTTCTACCCCTTCAAAGCGTGTCTCCCATTCTCTATAAATGACTTCTAACGAGTAGACGAAATACTGCAGTTTTAACAAAAAGCATCCTTGCAAGTGATGTCAACGATATTGAATGCACGTTCAGTACTGGAGGTAGTAGAATTAATAAAGGATCTTGGCCCATATAATTCGATGCGCGCTGTGAGTGCATGAGATGTGCAAAATAGAAGTGCACTAGGAGTGGAATGACTAACAGGATGTTGGGGGTACAAGGTTGGCTTGTCCTGCTGACGCTAGATTTTCGACTACCCACGAAGAATTCTCTCTGTCGCAACTTGGCTTGGATGTGCATGCAGTCCGCCCAGTTTAGTCGTAGGCTAGCACAGGGGTGCCATATATGTCAGAGGGACTTATTGTAAGGCTGTTCAGCAGAATTACATTATCGTGCGAGATAGATTAGGCAATGATGCGCGGCATTCAGATTTCCCAGCCTTTGAGCTTTACGCCTGAGAAGTAATCTCACCTGATCAACTCACCCCAGTCGCCCATGCGCGCCTCCATGATCACGGAATCTATGCAAGTCTCGCAACATCGTACATGGTGAACAGGTGGATGCTCTATGGGCGTCTTATCAGTTGGGCCTGCTGAATAATGTATTCATCCGCGCCCGCGCGCGTGCGCGCAGCGCTCAGGCTGCTCTTTCCTTGTTACCCATACGGAATCTATATGTTATCTCGGCCTTAGCTGTATTGTAGGGGAGTTGTCCGATTTATATTGTTATATCGCTTATCGTTCAGGCAGTTCAAGAGGCGATCTCGAGACTTGCATGCACAGGCAAGCGCCCGTCAATTAGCGGCCTTCTGGCATAGCCGGCCGCACTGTATTACACTTCCATATCCATATCTATGTGCACAATTGATACAGTTCAAGCACAGCTCTATTCATCCCAGGTGCTAAATAATGCGGGCGCTCGCGTGGGGGTCAGTGTCCATCCCTGTGCACCAGTCCCCAACCCTCGTGGATTCTAACCATCCAACGTAAGAAATGGCCTTAGGACCCCAGCCCCTATAGTAGAATAGTAGATAGCTTTGGGACTGGTCTAGGATATCTAGTATTCTAAAATCCAGCTGGCAATTGGTTGACTGTGGTGGACACGGGAGCTGATATCGAAAATGTATGAAAGCACTCGCTATTGCTCTGCTTTGCCTAGTAGCACATTTTACTCGAGTATGATCTCCGCTCTGGTATAGGAAGGAGTGTCCAAGTGTAAGCAGCCTGAACTGCCATGGATTCGCACATGAGCTGGCTATGTGAGACAACATTTCCATGACAGCTCTCAAAGCTGGGAGCATATCATGTGCGTGCGTTGAGCCTGGGGCTGTGAGGCGGCACCATTATCATAGATAGGTCATTTGGAGAGGGAGAAGCAGCGGGGACCAAAGACTGATGGGAGAAAACAACGGAAATCATAGGGAGCGGAGCTCCGTAAAGGATAGTTCTCGCCTGTATCTATGTAAATGTACGGAACTGTGAGCGGGCAGGTTTGTTTGCCTGGCTAATAGTAACACTTTGGCAACTTAAGGGGGAGCATGACACCGACATACTGGTCGTTTCAGTTGACAGGCTGGAGGGCTGGGGTCGTCGTCGCCGCATTTTTTCGAAACATCAAAACTGCTGATTCACTGCACGTGAAGAGCCGCTCAAGCTGCAGATGCTCCATGTGACAAGCTAGGGTACAACCCTTCCAGTGCGGGGTCGGCAGGTTGCTGCCAGCAGCCAGTTCACGCACTGCTCTGAACCAAGGTATGGTTTCTTACTTGTAGGAAAAGTCCGTTGAAATTTGTGGCGTAGAATAAAGGTGGCTGTTGACATTGCATATAGTTCATGTCTGTCAAATTCCCACAGAAGGGTGAGCGTTATTATAGATATTTAACCTGCGGACTGTAGGCTGCTCGTGAGAGCGCCAAGGGCAGGGGTTGAGATAAATAAATAAATCCGATTCGGGTATCCTTAATTTCTCTGATAAAATGCTGGTGTTGAAATGAATTGAAGGACATGTACGTGAATGAATTGAGCATGAATTGTATGAAATCATATGAATGGAGATGGTGCAGTGGCATGTTTTAATTGCCCACCCGGGTTTTGAATTGAGCTATGGGTGTGGTCAGTAGAAAACCTTAGAGGATGACTTCTCCAAGCCCCCCGATCCACTTCGACTCCATGCCTTCGTGCTGTTTTGTCTGTCGGCTGAAAAGAAAGGTGTGTTCTTCAATAATCCATCGCACTCCTTTCACTTTCACCGGGACAACAGTCCTTCTTAACTCAGCCTCGCTCATGCTCATGCTCAACTTGGAGCAACACACGACGGCTTCTCCAGATTGGGCTCGATATGGAAGACGCTAACGGCGTATTCTTGACTGGCCAAAATAATTCTGGTTTATCACGACTTGCCCAGACGTCACGCTATTCTTGCATGCATACTCGGCCAACTCCGTGGCGCATGAGGGTTCCTTGTCTAACTTCATCCTCACAACTTTCCAGAGATGCGTTCAGCTCCCAAATCACTTATCCTGTACCGCATGTCAACGTTTGCGCGTTGAGTGCATGTCCTGCATAATCAAAATTCCCAATGCGGTCAGAGTGCGTTCTCACCATTGCAATGATAGTGAACGAAGGTTGAGACCGACCCCATAGGAATCGACCGAGGCTCGGGAGTGTCTGGAGGAGGCCAACGCTCTGGCTTCCGGTGACCCTGGGCGTGTTGAGATAGGCCCCTATTTTCTGTGTGTCGTCGTCCCATGCAGGACTCATTCCACCTCAATAGCACCGCTCCCAAAGACGCGACAATTTCTTTCAAATTTACAATCGAACCTCAGGGATACAGCAACTCTGCCTCTAGCTGACCTGAGGATCCCTGCAACGACCTCAATCTTTTCCCCAACGGCTGTTCCGCCAAACGGAACTCATGAATGGGAAAACCGAGTAGATACTGTTTCAGCCTTTGGGGTGTCCGCCGCGGTTCTGCCGATAAATGATCTTGGATACATGCCACCCATTAATTCAGAGGCCTCATCCTCTATCTTGGGTTCATCTGGATATGTCAGAACCGTCGATGAAGCGAACCTCTTGCATGTTGGTTCCCTCCCGTATCCTGCCCACATCCCCAATCCTGAAGCAACCATTCCACTGAATGGTGCCATCTGCTCTGACTTGGCGCCCCAGCCAACAACTCCCAACCACGAGACAGTATCTTATGGCGAGAATTGGAATCTTCCTCAGATGTCGGACAACTCACATATCGCTGTCAACTATGGAAGCGCTGGACTTTCTACAGTGCCCTACCCACAATTAGATGCCTCTTTGCATGAAACTCGTGCCGAAACTTTGGGCAATGGTGCGAATTGGGATCAGGATGCCGTGGACTGGCTTAGGGGATTGGCTTGGAGTATGGGATATCACCTCGTCCCTCGCCGCGCTGTCATTTCCAGTGGCGGGGCCCTAGTGTAAGAGTTCCGTTTCATGGCTTTTTTTTTGGGTGTAGGTGTCTTTCTTCTCTCTGCTTGATCTAGTGTGTCCATAAATCGTTGATGTGGGCCAGCTGATTCTATGTGCGTCCTTGCCTGTGTCATTATCGACTTCGGTGTTTGGAGATTCTATGCCACATGGAATTTTTGAGTGCTTGTACAGTAAAATTTGTGAGCTTGTGTTCCTTCATGACTTGGTCTTAGGCGATCGAAGCGCTGTTCTTGACGTAGCTTAATTCATTTCACCGAGGAAAAAATAGCGAGTATTCATGGGATCATTCATGATATTTTGTATAAGCCCGGTCCAGGATGTGCACAAGTGATTCCTTGTAAATTACCTAGGAGCCAAAATATGGCCCCTTATTAGGAAGGCTCTGCCCTTCCACCAAACCTTCAGGCCCCGAGCCCGCAAAGCTACCGAAGGTTCCACCAAAATAAAATAAAATGGCCCCTTGGTGTAACCGTAACATACTCGCGTCCCAGAAACCTTCAGATGCTGTGGAGCACTCCAGAGGGGGGACCTTGCTGTACAGCTAGTCCAGTCCTGGTGATGAACTGTTAGATGCCATGACCACACAAGTTTCCAATTGAGCAGTTTTTCGGCCCGAGATGCTGGGCGTAGTGCGTGATGACCTTAAGCGAGGTATTATTACTAGCACTAGGTGATTTGAGGGAACCAGATACGATGCCGCAAGCGTAGGCTCCATTCGTTATATCGTACACGGTATCACCGCTGTCTTGCATCATATTCATAATCCCTTTTATGGAATTTGCTATCGAGCAAAAGCGGCACCAACTGGCCATCGAACATGGGCCTAATGGCTGCCCCGCTAACCAAAGTCAAAGACCCTAGAGGTAGAACGAAGGCAGGAGCACCCGACTCTATAAAATAATGACCACAGAGTTGTTGGAGTTACAACGACTCACTTGTCCTAAGGCTTCGTTCGGTATGAAGAAACAGGTTTCTTTGGCCTGTTTCTTAATACAAAAATTGCGTGTTTCTTTAGGTAGAAAAAATGAGAAAGAAACGGGTAAATATTGAATTGAAAAACTGGAAGAAACAGGCCAAAGAAACCAAACTTAGACTTACTTTTCGTTTCCGATGCGGTGACTACATGTGAGGAACCTCACATTAAGGCCGTGGGAACAAATATTTGTAATTGGGATCACAAACGCTGTAAAAAGGTCTGGAGGATGGATTCTCTTGGCCTCACAGTTCCCCAATCCCCCCAATCCACTTCGATTGCATGCCCTCGCATTGTTTTCTCTGTCGGCTGAAAGGGAAGGTGCGTTCTCCGGTGAAGCATCTTTGCAGTTCAACTTCGCGTGGACAATAGTCCTTCATCACTTAGCCTCGGTGCTTGCTCAACACGCGATGGCTTTGCCTGATTGGGGGCGCCAAAGGCGCGTTCTTGCATGGGCCAAACAATTAAGAGCAAACGAGTTCCTTGGCTAACTTCGCCTTAACAACTTTTCAGAGATGTGTCCAGCTCCCGAATCACTTACTCTGCACCGCATGTCAACACTTGCGTGTCGAGTGCATGCCTTGTTTAATAAAGGTTCCCAATGCGGTTAGAGTGAGTTGTGATCTGTGTGATGGATGAAGGCTAAGATCATCCCTGTAGAAATCGACCGAGGCTAGGGAGTGTCTGGAGGAGGCCAAGGCTTTGGCTTCCGGCGGTCCTGGGCATGTTGAGATAGGTACATAATGGGTCCCTATTCCCTGTCTGTCGTAGAACTCATTCCGATTCTCGATAGCACTGCTCCCCAAGACGCGACAGTTTCTTTCATATCTACAATCGAGCCTCCGGGATACAGCAACTCAGCCTGTAGCTGAACCGATAATCTCCGCAACGAACACCATCTTTTCCCCAACGACTGTCCCGCCAAACAGGACTCATGAATGGGGGAACGGAGTGAATACTGGTTCAGCCTACAAGATGTCCACTGCAATCCCGCCATTAGACGCTCTCGGAAACGTGCCGACCATTAATGAGGCCCCATATTCTACCTTGGGCTCATCTGGACATGTCAGAACTGATGACGAAGCGGCCCTCTTGCATGTTGGATCACTCCCTCATACCATTCCCAGTCCCGAAGCAAGCCTCCCCCTTAATGAGACCATTTTCCATAACTTGCCACCCGCCTTCCAGCCAATGACCTTCAATGAGACGGTAGCCTACAGCGAGGATTGGAGTCTTCCGATACTGGACAACTCGCATGACGCTGTCAGCTGTGGAGGTGCTGGACCTTCGACAGCGCCTTACACCCAAGTAAATACGGGCCTTTCACATGAAACTCGCGCCGAAACTATGTGTAATCCATCGAATTGGAGCGAAGATGCTGCGGACTGGCTTAGAGGACTGGCGTGGAGTATGGGTTACTACCTCGTCCCTCGCAGCGCTGCCGTTTCCACTCATGGTGCCCTCGAATAGCTGTTTCTCTTCATGATCTAGTGACGATAAACTATTGATGTGGATCAGCCTATCCTATGTGCGTCATTGCTTGCGCCATTAGCGGCTTCAGTGTTTGAATATTGTTGAATCTTCAAGTCCTTGTACAAAAAGATTTGTGATCTCATGACTCGTGCTTGCGTTCGCTAATCCATGTAATTCACTATTTGGTCTCGATGCAGAATTCGCGCGAATGCAAGATGGCGCTTCCATTGTGAACACAGCATGTAGTGCGGTCGAACACCCAATTGTACCGAAGTACTGTTGCTGACGTAGCTTTTTACCGAAGAATAATCATGTCATTCCTGAGTGCTCACATGCGTTGATTAACGTATAGAAATCGACTACGGCAAACGCACTGCAGTCATGGCGGAGCAATGGCGGAGGGCGGCTAACGAGTTGACGCTCGCATCTAAGTCACAGCGGTCAGCCACTGGGGTGGTTTGGACAGTGAGTGATAACATTCGACGTCTATCCAAGTCATCAGGTAAGGACTGCGTATTGCGAGCAAGCGCCCACGCATGATCGAAGGTGGATAAATATATCAATTGGTAATAATTGTGATATGCGCGCAGCACAATAGGTATGGCTCAAACGTAGCTGATGAACGTTCGAAGACCATACATACAAGTTCACCGACAGCTGGTGCTGCATTGACATGGAAGACCAACGGCATGTCATGCAAATGCAAATGTGTACCAAGACCACGCGATCGAACAAATGTAGGGGTAGGGTCGGTTGTTCCGTTGACACACGGATCATGTACGTTCGTTTCCAATATATCTTGTGTTACCTGAACCCAGGTGGCAGAGGGATTCACTGCTTCTCTTCTAGGCTAGGTTCGGAGTGAATGTAGGACAGATAATTTTCCGGGGAAAAAATAATGTAGTTGGATGATCGAAACGGAAGCACTGTAGAAGTGTGCAAGGTCAGGGCTGAATATCAACCCCACACTTCGTGGGAATTTTTGCATTTGATATCTTACATATGTATTTTGCGCCCGATTCATTTGCAATGTTACCCGAATTTAAAGCCTGCAAGGTACACAAGGTACATTCCCCCCATCTCCCATCGCTCACCACTCACCCCCGTCATTTTTGCCTTGATGCCATCACATTGTTTTGTCTGTCGACTGAAAGGAAAGGTGTGTCCCTCCAGATTCCAATACCCGATTCTCCAATTTCTTCAAACTTTGGCATTGTCATCACCGTGGCATGCCTCGGACAGAGTCACATTCTTGTGACATAGTGTAACATAGAACTTTTTTCTTGCACATGACCTCCTCACCGTGCAGTTACTCACCCCTCGGTTTAAGGGATGCGTCGATTCCCTAAATTCCCAATCTTGTGGTCTATGTAGCAGGATGCGGATTGAATGCCTTGCCTGCTCGATGACGGTTTCCAATGAGGTCAGGGTATGTCTTTCCCCACCGCGCTGATACTCTCTTGATGAAAGGAATAAATTATAGAGATCGGCTAGAGCCCGGGAGTGTTTGCGTGAGGCTCAAAGGATGGCTGAGCCTGGGCGTGCATGGATCGGTATGTCTGATGCTTCCAAACCTCGTCGGACACCGTGATCGTATTTCTCTGTCTCCGTATGTAGCACATCTTCCAAAGTCTCGCCAGCTTCTTTCAGACCTGCAATCGATCCTTGAAGATTCAACGGGTCAGAGCGCAGCCTATGAAGGAAACCCCACCCAGCCCACCGCTTCCGTGCCGATGGCAACTCCAGTTCATGCGCCTCATATGCCGGAGAGCCAAACGCCCACTGGCTTGCCCGATGGTTCGCTATCTACTACAGCCTTTCCAGCGAATTATATTGGTGCCGCGTCAGCTGTTAATTGGCCTCTCTACGCGTTTCCCATGACGTCATCCGCACATGATCCCAACCTCGATGAAGAATTGCCGGATCTCCAAACCCAAACCTTATTCCATCCTGTCCAAGGTTCGGGAGAAGGACCCGCTTCGATTGACCCTACACTGTTCGACATGATGCTTCCCTTCTCTCAATTCAACCCTGATCCCGAAATGGCTTCCCGTTCCCAGATCTCGAACCCTACGTCGTTGGACCCATTCCATCATGCTGGGCCTTCCAGATCTACCCCTTCTCACATCGTTGGACCAGTGCCGATCGTTGCTGCGATCGAAACTCCTGATCGTGTACAGGATAGGTGGATGAAGACGAACTCAAATGAGGATGTTGTCTATTGGCTTCGAGGCTTGGCTCGGAAGCTGGGATATCACCTTGTCCCTTTCTGAGTTGGCATGGGCGGTGGCGGATCAGCCGGACCGAAAAACCAAGTTGATTCCTCACGCTCAGAATTTCTGCTTTGCTCGGTGGTGTGTGATTGTGTGTATAGTACTGGTGGTCTTCCGACTCGTGTTTTTGTTTTCCATTTCTCGTGTCATGTGTAGAGTCGGTGACCTCTTGCTTGTTCCGTTGACACACGGTTCATGTACGTTTGTTTCCAATACATCTCGTGTTACCTGAACCCAAGTGGCCAGACGGATTCACTACTTTCCTTCTAGCCTAGGTTCGGAGTGAATGTGGGAAAGATAGGGAGGTGTTACAGGGGAAAAAAATAATGTCACATGGGAGAGAAGTGACCTAGCGAGCGTGTAAATGAGAAAACCATTATACTCACAGATAGTACTCTGCTATACTAGTGATACGTCCATTTCAATTGACCACCGAGACCTATAAAATAGCTTTGAGTGTGTGAAATTGGATCTTTTAAGCGCTTACGCGATCCGCAGTGAAAGGGCCATCAATTGTTTCTCTTCCAGCTCGGCTCGGAGTCCGATGATCGAAATGGAAGCACAAGCTGCGAGTCTGTGGCCCACATGGACGATAATTAAGGAGAAGTCGCCCTCGATTCCAGATTCAATTCAATCGCACTCTTCGGCATCGGCAGGACTCTATGACTTTGTAATATGACGCTGCTTGGTCATCATGACTAATGAACGCCACTCGACAGTGACGACTTCGGTTTATCCGCTCCCTTCTCTCTCCATCATCCTCATCCTATCTTCGACGATTTCCGATGGCACAACCACCTCGGAGATGAAAGACAAGAGCCATACAAATCGCCTTTTCAGTTACACAGCCAGATATCCAGACATTCCTGGAAGCCAATCGTGTCCATATATATTGCTGGAAGGGAGGAAACAACCAACTAGAAAGGAGGGGTCGAAGCGATCATTTCTCTAGGGGGTATTGAGCAAAGTGCAACAGCCTTCCGGCATTCAAAAGCCCAAGTGATCTAATCGGTGGGTTGGGCTCGCTGCTATGAGTCTCGCGGTCTAAATGAGCGTCCAACCTGCGTAGGTTTATGTTGATACGCTTAGGATGGCGTCACCCCCGCTCACAGGTGTTATTCCGTTCTCGACCATTCCATACCCGCATCATTGCGGAATTCCCGACATTGTTCGCTGCATGGAAAACTTGATTCAACAAGCTAAGAAATTAAGTATTGTTCCTAGTGACGAGTACGGTCCTTGACTTGCTTTTAGAATTCTGTCCAACTTCAGATTACTGGGAGGCTAGTTTAGCGTCCAAGATCTCAGCCGGTGCTATAAAGGGGCCCATCCAGTGAGCTGGAGAGCATGGGGATAAGATCATTTTCAAGTTGCCAATGTATGACCGTGGCGCCTTTGATCGAAGGGATAATAATGTCACCGTCCCTTCCCGAGCCTATTCTGGCGATGCGGTTAAGTTTTCTCCCGAACATTGATATGGAAGTGACCAGCCTATTCTCGGAACATACCATACCACACCAAGTAGATGATGGTAGATCGGAAGATCGCTCTATTCTGGAGGCACGTTCAATCAGCTGTCATTATTAGGAGGCACCGCTCAAATTGATTCCCTTTTGTTTCACAGCAGGAACATACAGGACCGGGTGAATCTTAAAATGACGACGCACATAGAGTACGTCTGTTGTTTCTTCCGGATACCCGAGCACTGCATATGTGCTAACGGTCGCGCTAGGTGTGTTGCCAGGGTTGGGGTTTTACAACATGGCCATTCTTAGCTGGCACGGGGCATTGACGCCTCCACTACCGAACCCTCCACCATCTTAGATCTTCGGCGAAGGGAGCATCTACATTCGGGCGAAAGACCCCAGAGCGGTAGGTGCAGAGTTGGAAGCGTACCTGGGCGTGCAGCAAGGGTAAATCAGTGGATTGTTTTTGTGCTTTATTGATGGGGTCCTTGGTCCTGACTGTCTAATGGAACACAGTATGAGGTCGAGCGGTTGGCATGGCCCGCCGCTCAAAGCGTTCCTTTCTGGCGACTCGCAGCCTGAAATCATTTTGTACGTCACATTATTTAATCCACATTATCATTAAAGGGATCTGTTTGGTAACGAACGGAAATGGAGGTCCATACAGGAGAATTCATTTTGTATTCACCACATAGACCAGTGCCTATAGTTCTGGTTAATCGAAGACCTAATGGGAGTATGTACCTCTTTTGGGCTGAAATGGTTTCCACATGGTCCCACCACTCGTCCTGCCTACAACGGTCCTCCATTCGGCCTCGGTGCATATTCGTCTCAGAGTAGCATGCTCGGCTTGAAAGACGCTAGGGGCGCGGTCCTCCCTGACTAAATTTCCTGGTCTGTCGTGGGGGATTCTCAATTAATTGGTCAACTTCATGATCCAACCGTGACGGGTGGCCTTCAACAGGCTGTTAGCCTTCATTAAGACCTCGTAGTGGCGAATGCCTGCCCTATCACCTCTATTGTATTGTTACTAGTATCGAGTTCCTTGCCTATCTTTACCTTGACAACTCTTCAGAAGTCTGTCCAACTCCTGAATCGCATACGGTCACAAGGCTGGCGCTAGATTCTAGAGTATCCAGAATCGCGACGGGTCCACAAAGTTTGATTCATGGATTATAACACGGATGTCATATATGCCGGAGAGGGGCTTCTATCTGATTGTCATAGGATCACTAACGGGGATTGGGGACTGGTGCACTGCGTTGGACACTGATTCCACGGGAGCGCCCACACTATCAGTATCTGGCGGTTGGGATGAACAGGGGCGTGCTTGAATTGGCCACAGAGATATCAAAGTGTAATACCGTGCGGCCATGTCAGAAGGCCGCTAACGGACGGGCGCTTACTTGTGTATGTAAGTCTCGCAAGTCAGCTTCTTGAAATGTCTGGACGGCGAGCGATGATAAGTAGATTTCGTATGGGTCGCAAGGTAAAGAGCGTACCAGAGCCTGAGCGCTGCGCGCAAGCGCAGCGCACGCGCGGGGATGAAATACATCATTCAACAGGCTCAGCTCATAAGGTGCTCGTATAGGACCAACGTGCAGCTCAGGACATCCACAAGGAAGTCGCGAGACCCGCATAAGTAGACGTCATGATCGGGTAGGGGGTGCACACGTAGGCGGCTAAGATAAGTTGATGCTGCGCGTTAGCACCTATTATATATAGATCGCATTGCCTAAATCAGTCTAACGCAGATTCTCATCATCCAAGGTAACAAATGGCCTTTGGGGCTAGTGCAGGGTACACAGCATTCTAAAGCTCCAGCTAGCATCCGATCAACTACGGTCGGGGAACGTGGTTACAGGAGCCGATGCGGCAACATTCGGCCAACACCGCTGGTGGTTTGCGAATGATATTGTAATATTGTAATATTGACCGTCGTCCGACAAGGTGTCTAACATCGTCAATTCCAACCCTCGGTTGCGTCTAGTACTGTGATGGGAAGGTGGAGTTCAAGTTTTTGAATTGCAATCCAGCTTGGCGTCAATAGACAAACTTGTCCCGACACCATGGGGTGCTTGCATATCGAAGCCATCTGCCCTGAAACCCGATTGGGTGTCAAATGTCGACTGGGAAGGGCGCGCATTAGTAACCCGCAGCCTGGCCTGTAGCGTAGCGGTTCTTCGGCCCTGGGCGGGCTCCTCAAGCACAATGAACCGGAGGTTTTTGTGATCCAATACGATACAGGATGATGATCCCCAGCACGTCAACTGAAGCAACCAGCATGTGGGTGCCGCGCTCACTTTACGGCCGTTGCTAAAAATGTCACTCTTAGCCAGTCAAACCAATCTACCGGTTCATCACTGTGGGAGAGAACGATTCCGTACATTCGCATAGCTTTCGCTCAATACAAACGTTGAGAACTGGGCTCCGCTCTCGCTTTTCCCAATCTCATCTTCCCGTCGAGCTCGTCAGTCTTCCGCGTTGCCTTTTTCAAATGGCTTGCCGTGCCAGCTCACGACCCCAGGTTCAACACATGTGGGTGGCATGCTCCCCTGGTACTGTTAGAGAGTTGTTGTGGAAGCGTGGTCTCGCATAACCGGGAATATGATAATTATAAATAGAGTGAGGTGCTGTGCTACTATGCAAAAACGGGTGCCCTCTCGCGTTTCATACAAGCTTCCTGTTTAGGGTTGTTTGTGATTACCCTGTAACAATATGGCTGTTTGACGAGGACAAATCTCCGTTGACTAATCAATTCAAAAATTTGAATTGAACTCTGGGACTGGGTTGGGAAAGGTTGGGAAGATACGTAGAACACTTAAGAGGAATCACTTGGGCTTCACACTTCTCAACCCCCCCCTCCGAGAAAATAAAACACTTCCATGCCTTCGCATTGTTTTGTCTGTCGACTGAAAGGAAAGGTGCGTTCTTTGGCCATTTTTTCGCATGATCGGGTAACTCCGTGGTTGCTCTGTTTGACCTTCCAAAGTCGATCATTAGAGTAAACAAGTTCCTTCTCTAACTTCACCTTCACCACTTTCCAGGGATGTGTCCAGCTCCCAAATCAATTATCCTGTACTGCATGTCAACAGTTGCGTGTTGAGTGCCTGTCCTGCACAATCAAGATTCCCAATGCTGTTAGAGTGCGTTTTCGCCAATGCAGCAATGGTTCGTGTGGTGGACGGAGGCTGAGACTAACCCCATAGAAATCAACTGGGGCTCGGGAGTGTCTGGAGGAGGTCAAGGCTCTGGCTTCCGGCGATCCTGGGCGTGTTGGGATAGGTACGTACGGTTCTATTCTCTGAGTGTCCTCGTCCCATGCAGAGCTTATTCCGTTTCTCTTTGTTCCATAGCACTGCTCCCCAAGACGCGACAGCTTCTTTCATATTTGCAATCAAGCCCCCTGGGTACCGCAACTCAGCCTGTAGCTGACCCGATAGTCCCCGCAATGACTACTATCTTTTCCCCAGCGGCTGTCTTGCCAAATGGAACTCACGAATGGGGGAACCGAGTGGATACTGTTTTGGCCTATGAGGTGTCCGCTGCACTCCCACCAGCAAACGATCTCGGGAACATGCCGGTCATTGATGAGGCCTCATTATCCACCTTGGGCTTATCTGGATATGTCGGAACCATTGATGAAGCGAACCTCTCACATGTTAGTTCCCTTCAGCCAACGACCACCAACCACGCGACGGTACCCTACGGCGGGAATTGGAATCTTCCGATGCCGGACAACTGGAATGACACTGCCAACCGTGGAAGTGCTGGACCTTCTACAGCGACCTACCATGCCTCTTCAAATGAAACTCGTGCCGGAACTCTAGGCAATGGAGCGAATTGGGGCGAGGATACTGTGGGCTGGCTGAAGGGACTGGCTTGGAGTATGGGATACTACCTCATCCCTCGCGGCGCTGCCATTCCCGGTGGTGCTCTTGTTTAGGAGCTTCACTTCATGTTTTTGAACGTTAGTGTCTTTCTTTTCTCTGTACAATCTGGTGATGATACATTGTTGGCGTAGACTGATTGGTTCAGTTGTGTCATCATGAGTGGCTCCGTTACTTGAATATTCTGCACCACGTTGAATTTTCATGTAGAGCGAGGCTCGTGGTCTGGAATCCTCGCATCTTGATTTGGATTGTGGACGATGCATTCCCTTAGACCGAATAATGTTCCAAGCATTTGTGCTTGTCCACTCACGTTGTCCAGTCTGCAGATCGGGTCCTGGGCTGGCTATTGTATTGACTCAGCTTTTGTTCTTGGCTAGTGTGGCCTCTCACTTCCTTTCTTGGTATTTTGAATACCCTGCAATTGAAAGCACTGTGCTATAAGCGTGAAAATCCTTTCATCTGCATACACTTTCCCTCAGTTCGCCACGTGGAGCGATCGCCAACCTTGTATCTTTTGCGCAGCCTCACTGAGCTCGTCACCGCTGGGGATGCATGCATATGCATATACACCCACCTCGTATACAATAGCCGTTCAGTTCCTCCTGTGCTGTCATTCTCATCTCGTTGCTCCGTCTTGCAGCATATCGAACGTTTATCAATTTAAGCAACTTCCCCAATTGAACGTCCAGGTCACATCTACAGGCGCCATTTCCCGATACCCCACTCTCTAGGTGTCGATGTGTCACTTGACGGACACTGTCGGTTTTGCCGTGCAATGTATGTCTCAGCGGTGGCTCTCGCAGGCGCGCGACTTGCCGTTAGCCACCCATACAACCGCTGATCACGACGTGCGCGCCAGCCGCCGTAGAGAGCCTGAGTCTAGGCCATACTAGGCTCTTGGTATTCTGCGGATAACATGTGCATACACAATCTGGGAATGTCCTCTGTATTGTAGACCACTGGCAGTTATGCTTAGATGGCGTATTCAGAGGGTCACGAGGTGTGCGCGGGCGCCGCGCCAATGATCATACAAACACGTTTGTGACATATCCCTAGAAATTATATATTGACTACATGGCATCGCTTGTAAAGATTGCTTTTCAGATGACTTGGAAATCCACATTGATGTCTCTGGGTAATGGGCATGTGTTGACTCGGCGCGGCTTCAGACGCGGCGCGATGCGGAGTTCGAAGTCGTGTCGCTACTATCGGTCCCATCCTAAGATGTTATGCTGCTCCACCTGCCAGCTAATGTACGTCCAGCAACATGCATTAGACCCTCACCTCTGGGTTCCGAACATCTTATCCAACCGTGCCAGATGACCTCTTACTGCCAAGGGCGGATGCATTTCCACCTTCACCGATTCTGGACGAATCCTGAATATATGGGAAGCCGTCAAGCAGAAGAACGCTTGACGGAATGAGCAGAGACGGTCGGGGGCAGCCATCCGAGGATTCCTGCTGTTCCGTACCACATATATGCCCGAGCTTTTCCTGGGTAGAATGGCGTCGTTATCTTTGGGAGTCGCGCTGACTCTATTTCTGAACGGATCGGTTGTACACTAGCCTTTCCTGGGCGGGGATAATACAACGATCGCGAAAAGAGAGCGAGAGACTGCGGACAAAACGTTGATCATGAGGTCAGACTTGAGAGTAGACTGAGAAGTCGTGCGAGATGGCCTACATCTGTGCTCAATCTTAGGTCTGACTCTATGCATTTAAACCAGCACAATCCTCCACCCCTACATTCTTCCAGCTGTGGGCCCTTGCCGACCGGATTTCCACGTTGATGTGCATATATAATCTTCGAATGTTCATTGCCTACGTTCCAGTGAACGTGTGCACCCTACCATGTCTTAAATTGCCCTGCACACGATCCATAAACACCTTTTTTTTTTATAGCCGGCCTAACTGACATATTTATCCACACACATGCGCATCAGCGCTAGCGTGCGGCACTGAGGCTCGGGCTTGCAGGTGGACGGGCCTTTCTTCATGGCTCAGATAGCATCCTAATATTGTCATTTGCCATCCAAACAACCCCACACATTTTGGGATTCCGAAGCCTCGACACAACCCCTTTCTTACCAGTCCTTATGATTGGATCATGTATGTCCCAGAACAGACACTGTCACTGACTTTCAAAACAACCATCATATAGCGCTTCCGGTGAATTTGATGTGGCGAGCACTGCACGTTCGGGCATTGAATGTACGCAGAAGATGAAAATACTCCTGGAGGGCGAAAGGCCAATGCGTTCTTGCTTCCCCTAGGTAATACATATTCACAAGTGCACGATTGTGCAAGGCTGAACCAGAAGCGACAGACACAGGTAAGCCTCAACCCACCATGACTGCTCTACCGCCTTCAAATCCACCTTTACGGCCTAAGCACACTCCTAGTCATTCCAGCCATCATTGTCCCTGCGAGGTATAAATCAGTGCACCGTAAGTCCCTGATGAATCGTTTAGAACGTCCATTCGATCGATAGCGTTAGGAAACTGAATACAGGTTACGGAAGGGGTCTTTAGATTTGGACTCCGGAAGTGGCATCGGCAACCATTATAAACAAAGGTCGAGAAGTCGTGGCACCTGTATCATAGAGCCATCACTTCGATGTCCAAATGACCATTATGACACTCACTGCGGGATATCACGATGACTGTGCTCGTCAGCATAATCAACTGACCATCCTTGCAATGATTTGCGGGGCGCTCAGCAATGATCCCTAAATCGAATCCGCACATGTATACTGAGGTGAGCATTCTACAGACCCTGAGAAATTACGCTAGGGCGTATGCATTTTGTGCTTTTTTTCCGATGAGATTTAGTGCTGATGTTTTTTTGCTACTTGATTCCGGTTCGGGCATAAAGACCTCAGGCTATCGCTGGTGGGAGCACCAAGGGTAGGGTGCCAGCTACCATGAGATGGTTCATGGTTAACGCTGAATTGAACATATCATGTTCGAGCCAGCCTCACGTCAATGAGCCGAAAGAGATACAGACGCAAGGCGCTACCGACGAAACTCGTACTGCACACCTGGAGTGGCAACCTACAGAGGCTCGCAGATAGCTGGCTGAATATCTAGTGGGTATACCGGACCCGGGTCGGCGGAACTGTCCCATACTAATGATATTTCCAATTAAAAAATCAGAAATTTAAATTTAACAAAGAAACATATTTTCCATAAGCAGTATCGAGCTAGTTCATCCTTAAATAAAATCTCTGAGGTGGAATGTCCCTCTACCACACACCTCACCAGTCATCTTCATCGTTTCGAGTTGATGCCTCCACGCTGTTTTATCTGCCGGCTAAGAGGAAAGGTATGTCCTCGATTCCAATGAGCATTTAACCACCAGCCCCAAACTCCCTTTCAAACTTACACTGTCATTCCTGGTCCTCCTTTCGCTGCTCGATTGGAGAGCACAGCCCGGAAATGGAAGCAGTGCGACATTTACGGGCACTTTTCAACTTGCATGCATTGTGGCTAGCAATCGCTCACATGTCACCATGTCACATAATGTGACATTAACGACATAGCCATCTTCTTCAAGTCATGACACGAAGGAGAGACTCACTTTGCTTTTAGGGATGCGTCGAGTCCCCAAATTCGCAATCCTGTGATCGATGCAGCAGGATGCGGATTGAGTGCATTGCCTGCCCGATGACAATTTCCAGTGAGGTCAAGGTATGCCTTCCCCTATCGTGCTGGTAGACTCTCTCGATAAAGGGAATGATTTATAGAGATCGGTTGGGGCCCGAGAGTGTTTGTGTGAGGCTCAAAGGCTGTCTGAGCCTGGGCGTGCATGGATCGGTAAGTGTACGCTTCCTCAAGATCTCTCGTTCGACATCCTGATTGTACTTATCTGTCTCCGTATGCAGCACGTCTTCCAAGGTCTCGCAGGTTTCTTCTAGAACTGCAATCGGTCCTCGAAGGTTCGACGGGTCAGAGCGCAGCTCATGAAGGAGCTACCGCTTCCCTACCGATGACGACTCCACTCCAAGTGCCTCATATGCAAGAGAGCCACGCGCCCACTGGCTTCCCCGATGGTTCACCATCTACTACAGCCTTTCCGGTGAACTATATTGGTATTCCGTCAGCTGTTAATGAGCCTCCTTATGTATTTCCCATGGGGACATCTGCGCTCAATGAACTGGATCCCCAAACACAAACCCAGTTCCATCCTATCCAAAGTTTTTGGGAAGAACCCGCTTCCACTGTCTCTACCCTGCGAGACATGGTGCCACCCTTCTCCCTATTCAATCCTAGTCCCAAAATGACACACCATTTCGAGAATTTGGGCTCTGTGTCTTCGGACACTTTCCACCACACCGCGATCCCTGAGCAGCTCGCCGGGCCCTCCAGATCCGGTCCCTCTCGCATCGTTGATCCTGTGCCGATCGAAGCCGCGCTCGAAACTCCTGATCGTCCACGGGATGGATGGATGAAGACAAACTCGAATGAGGACGTTGTTTACTGGCTTCGAGGCCTGGCTCAGAGGCTGGGATATCACCTTGTTCCTATCTGAGTTGGTGTGGCTAGCGGTGGTTCTTCTGGATCGAGAGAAGTGTTGTACATGTAAGTTGATTCCGCGTGTTTGATCTACCAACCAACTTTGAATGCTCGGAATTGCTGGTACGGCTCAGTTGCTCCGTGGTATGTGACTGCTTGGATTATTACTAGAGGTCTTCCGGCTCGTTTTGTCTTGCTTTTCTCGTGCCATGTGTAGAGTCGGTGATCTCTCCTTGTTCCGTTGACACGCGGTTCATTTGTTTCCAATACACCTTGTGTTGCTTGAACCCCAACAGTTTCTTCTAGTCTAGGCTCAGAGGGAAAGGGGGAGGTGTTACAGAGGGCAATAATAATGCGGCGGCTGCATCGGAGTTGGATGATCGAAATGGAACAACAGTTGTGGTGAGAGAACTGACTTGGGGAGTGTGTGAATGAGATTCACAGATGGCAATAGGCCGATACGTCCATTTGAACGACTGAAACCCATAAAATTGGAGCAATAGCTCTGGACGGAGTGAATGAGGTGGCGGCGCAGTTAGTACCGGCGCCAAATTCGGGTTGGACACCAGAAACACTCCAATGATAATGGTATGCCAAATGTTCTCGGATCTGCAAGAAGTTGTTACCTCCATTACATACGGGGACAGACCCCAGTCTCTTGGTTGCCATAATACTGTAGCGCCAACTGTTGATGAACTTCATAACCTTTGAACGTTCGTCACGCATAGTCGTATGAATTGGCAGATGACCGATCGATTGCTCATCTGCGCTTGTCGTGACCTTTCCCACACTTGCCCGAACTTGAATCGGCGCCAAGGGGTATCAAGACTGGGTGGATCGAGCTCCCAGTAATATCGACTTCAGTACCATTCGAGTTAAACGGTACCCGCCATCTGATATTCATATCGCAAGAATCGCCATCACGAATCGATTCAAGAACGAATCAGACATAGGATGGCCAATAAACGTCGAAGACAAGCTCCATTCAAAGTCGGAAACTCAGTATACATATCACCCAACGGAAACTCTTAACCTAGGTAAAATAGGTCGCGAAAATTGTCCCCCGAAATTTATTTAGCCATTGCGAATAGTTAGACAGGCTTCACCGAATTTTTCAGAGGAACTCAAAAAAGCCGAAGTATCCACCCACCGGGTATCTTCACTCCAACCTGCTGAGGCCTCATATCCCTAATGACGTCATCCTGTTGTATACAAGGCCCTTCTGTAGCTATTGGTCACGAAGGTTGAAAACGCGCGCGCAAAGCGTTAAAGGTGCCACTCATGAATCAAACGATCCATTAAGTTTAATCACGTGGAACTGCAGTTTGCGCAGCGGCGGCGGCGTTCGATTCGTGCCGTTGCCCATTCTTCGGGTGGCAACCGGATCCGAATTGGGAAGGAACTCGCCCACAGATTAGAAGATAGGCCGCGGGGCTCCAGGTATTGGAATATCAACAACAACCATGGCGATCCAGTGGCGTTCGTTTCCCCTTCCCCCTGGTTCGGCGGCCTCGCCAGTGAGTGCTGGCTCCGTATAACGATTTTGAACTTGCTCTCGTTGAGAGCTGCCTCTTCCATCTACAAAAACATTGACATCTTTGTATTATGTAGTTGTGTCGCAGCTTTACGCGGCTTTACGCGAACCATATGAAGTAAATGTAATTGTCATCAAATCTCTCCCGCGAGACTGAGTACACGATATAACCTTTACATTTTTCAAGCAGCGTTCAACAGATAGATAGCACAAAGTGATTAGCTTCGGTATGCCTACATCACTACGGACTGTAGATCAGGCATAAGGTTTTCCCAGTGTGAACTCTGTAATAAGCTCTGAACGTAAATCTGATGATGTGCATTCGACGAATTAATACAACCCTGGTTTGATGAGAACCCAATGTCAACGTGTGGTTGTTTATGGAACTAACCGAATACGGTGATTGAACACTGACGTGCTGATCCCGCGGCGGCAAACATACGTTGATTCAGGGATTCTGCGATAGCAATCACGAAATGTTGGAAAGGTTCTTACCACATACTGATTTAAGGTGGGCGAGCCTGCGGTTCTCCAGCCTTGTAGTTTATCAACTTACCCCAATCACGCACCCCTTCCCTCTTCGATGCCGCCGCACTGTTTTGTTTGCAGACTGAGGGGAAAGGTGTGTCCTTCTGCGGCATCTAAATTTTCCAGATTTGCATGATCTATACTCTGTGATATAATCTTTCCGGGGATGCGACGACTTCACCTACCCGCACACAAATTCTGAATTTTCTTGTTATGGGTGGTATTTCGGGACGAGCCCAGGGGCCTTATCTTCTAATTGTTCGAATGACCTTTTTCAACCTTACTGACACTGTTTATCCCTCTAGGGGTGTGTTCAATCTCCAAATCGTCAAGGCTGCGATGCATGTGAAGGGATGCGAATCGAATGTATGTCCTGTCCGATCAGGGTTCCCAGCATGGTAAAAGTAGGTTTCGTGGCTCATCTCATGCACGAAGGCCTGAAAGACTTGTAGGGGTCGTCCAGAGCTCAGGAGTGCCTGCAGGAGGTTAGAACACTAGCTTCCAGTCTAGCTGGACGTACTGGGATCAGTATGCCGTTCATTCCTGCATCTTTTATACCTCGTCTGATACCGTACTGTAATTGCGATTTTCCCTCCCGATTCCACAGCGCTTCTTCCAGTAACTCGTCAGTTTCTCTCAGATTTGCAGTTGGTATTTGGGAGTGCCATATGTCGCGATCCAGCAACCCTTGCACCGTCCACCATTGCCTCGTCGCTAAAACCACCAAATAACTCCTATGGGTGGCCGAGTGGAGGAGAGGGCCCTCTGCCCAACGATACATCTTCCTTTAGGGTTCGGTCCGTCCAAGACTCCCCGGCTACTCATCATATCCATTCAGCTCCTCTCCCCTCGCCTGGGTATGCTAGTAATGGCATCAGCGAATGGTCCATCTTGAGTGTTGGGCCTCTCGCGCATCCACCACATGTGCCCAGTCTCGGCACTAGCTCCTTCACTAGCACTGACTCTGCCTTCCGCCCCTCCGCATCTTCGTCACCACAAGTGACTCCTAACCCAGGAATACCATTCCACAGCGAACAATGGACCCCCACAACACTGGGCACCTCACACGCTGACTATGACCTTCCTGGACCTTCTCATTTACCTCCCTACCCGCGATCAAATGCATTTATGGCCGAAGCCAACCAGGGGCTCCTGGAAGAGTATTCGGACTCAGGCTCGGATGCTGTTATTTGGCTTAGAGGCTTGGCTCGAAGTATGGGATACCGCCTTGTCCCCCTCTGAGCTGCCCTTTCGCACCACCCCCTCGGTCTGATGGTTTTTGTTCTGCGGCTTTGTCTGTCTTGATTTAGCAGGACTCATCGAATGATCATAAAGATATAGTCTGTGTATCGCCATCTGTGCCGTCATTTGATGCCTCTGGTATTTGCTTGACATTTGTACGTATCTTCGAGTTCCTGTATATCTTGTGTCGTTGTTCTTTTTGTTACCCTGAGGTAATGTATTTGTGAATATATCCCACCTCATTACTTGGTCTCGATGTCGTTATTACCTGGCTTGATATTCACCTGTGACGTGATGCTTTTGGAGGCGGCCGTCCATGTCACTCTGGCGGTCCCAAAGCGAACCCTCCCCCAACATTCACTTTCTCTGGGTTGTATCTCATTGGAGGTTTTTCATGAGGAATATCTCTGTTGTCGCTTTAATTAATTTGCACATGCTCTTGAGTAGCAAGTCATGATGCCGTCCGACGCCCCAGCAACTACTCACACACTTATGCAGATGCGCAGCATCGACCCGCTCGTAGCCCAACCTCACAGCCTCAGCATCGCACGAGTACGCGCCGTACAGCAAAACATGGCCTCCGTATCCACGTAGTGAGTTACCAGCGAAAAACCCCCCAGGTTTCTTTTTCGCATTTCGATACCAGCAGTTCCGCACTTCGCACACGCGCGTGGCACTGTATTCCAGCTATCTAGTCTCGGAGTTTCTTGTCGGATTGTAAGGCCGTCCAGGGGTATCACCAGAAGGTGTCTTGGGGGCGTCCCGATCATTCACACTTGAGTATATAACAAGTGCTGATGTGTGGCACCCAATTTCCCACACTGGCGACCCTCAGAGCCTTCAGTCTCAGAAACAAGGAATCTGCCTCATGCAGTTTTGTTCGTACAACACGTTTGAGAAGCAGCCCCATTAGGGTCAACGAGTCAATGCACATGTCACAAGTCCGTTGCCGGCGTTCTATGGGCTGGTGTGTACTACGATTTTGAAAGGACTTATGAGTTGACTTAAGTGATCTATTCATGAGGAAGCAGGGGTAGCGCTCATGCATCTCTCACCTTCATAGTGGTCTTTCTTCCATAGACCGTTCGCTGTCTGAGTAACTCTTCGGCGCTGACCCGTAGCAAGTTCCGTAGGCAATCGCTGCCCATAGAAACTAACGTCCAACAGCAAGCATCGATTGTTAGCACCAATTCCCGTGCACTGTGACTATTCAATGCAACACTGGTCCCTTACAGCCAATCTGAAATACACAGCTCAGCTCGGGCTGGTATTCAATCAGCAGCGGCTAGGGAAGCGCAGAAATAGGTGCTGTTAATGACATCGGGGAAAAGCGCGACATAAGGCAACTCCTACGCTAGAAAGGGAGAATAATTGGAGAGCGCATGGCTGCACGAATGAAGCAAGGTCTGAAGCGCGCGCACAAGTTACCTGCCCCTGTCTGGTAAGACATACTAGCACGGTGGTAGAAGAGGGAGTGACGGGAAGAAACCCCTGGCCTGATCAATGAGCAACCTCTGGAGTATAAAAACCTAGTCGTAAACAATGCAATGAGTCGGCGTCTGCCATTCATGTAATCGGCAAGCTCCGCCGTGCCCGAGTCAACCTCCCAATGATCTGGAAAGACGCACTATGGAGCACGTCTGGTCTACGCGTCGTCACTCGGAAATTATGAGTAAAACAAATGTCTTACATGACATTCTCTTCGATGTGTTCAGCTTCCAAATTGTTGGTTCTGTGATCCATGCCAGAGGAGCGTATCATGCTTGCGTTGTCCACGTTTTGGCCATTGCGATGATGGATCGTCTCATCGACAAAGATCTGGGGAACGGGAGTTGGCCAGTGCTTAGGAGTTTCTACAAGAGGCCAAGGCGCTAGCACCCAGCAACCCCGAACGCAGTGTGATGGGTGTGCCCCTCAGCCCCACCGTATAGCCTTGCGCTCGCATCCCATGAGTCGTACGCTTATGGCAAGTTCATTATTGATGTTGAAGGATGCTCGTTAAGCGTAAAGGTCATTAAGTCAGGATGTGTATTGGCGTCTTGCCCATTGGTTGAATACGATCTTTATATTTCCCTCGCCGCTTGATGGATTCCTCTGTTTTCGCTTGCTGTGACCGCAACTACATTATTTGTTGCTTCCTTTATCTCGGCAACAGGTCATAGTAAATGAGCGCTCATAGCGCCTAATACGAATTAGATTCAGCGGTGTCCAGCCAACAATATTTCTGTCAGGTCCATTTTTCTGTGCTGGGCCGTTTCCGTTCCGTAACTATTTAGCAGTGGACGTGTATCTTTCTGACACCCTCCTGGAGCCCATTCGCTTTACCGCCACTGCTTTTGGGCTCCTCTTGACCTCCGCTCGCTTCCCATCTCAATCCGATTTCTACTCTTTCTTTGGTAACTTCGTTTTGAGGTTGTGATGGGGCGTTCGCTTACCATTCCGAATCTCACACTCCCGACATCCTCCTAAACTGGTTCCCTGGCCGGGTCTTGGTGTACCATCTATATCATCTTGGTGGAATCGATGGGAATTTTTGTCGACGGATGCCGTGGGTTCACGGTGTGCTGCCCCCTGGAAAATAAAAACGCACTCAGTCTGGCTGACAGGATGTCAGAGGTTGGCTTGTCCAACTTGCGCGCTAGATTCTGGACTGTCCGCAAGAAAATCTCTCCATCGCAAATTCGCTTGGAAGCACCGCCCATACCGTTTTATTCATAGACGAGAACCTAGACACGCACATGGCAACCAACCCTGAACTTCTTACCGTAAGACTGCTCAGCGGGGTTACGTCATCTTACTAGATTAATTTAGGCAATCAAGCACACTTGGAGCCATAATATGTAAGTGCTGACGCGCGGCATTCAACTTGCTCGGCCTTGCAATCTCACGTACCTGATCAACTCACCCCAGCCGCCCGCGCGGGGTGCCAACATGATCACGGAGCCCATGAGAGTCTCGTAACGTCGATATGCTGAGCCACATATACCAATATGTGAGCGCCTTATCAGCTCAGACTTGAATGGTCCGTTCATGCGCGCGCGCGCGCGCTGCTCTCTGCACGCATGCAGCGCTCAGGTCCATAGTACACTCTTTACCCCATGAATCAATGTATTGACCCCTGTCGCTAGACATCTCAAGAAGCTGACTTGTGAGGATTCGGTGCACAGGTAACCGGCTCGTTGCAGCCTTCTGCCATGACCGCACGCTACCTCATCTTCAAATTCCCTGTGGCCGATTTATAGTCCATGTACAACCCTAGCCACCAAACAATGTGCCCATTCCCGCTCCCGTAGACTCGGAGATCACCGTCCAACACTTACATCAATTTCCACTTCCCTCTCGTGGGCTATGACAATCCAACGTCACAGCTATAGCTGTTGTTTTGGCAAACTGCAGTAGGGAAACGCAGTCATAGGCGCTGATTTTGCATTGAAGCATAGCATTTCAATTGATATACTGGGCTTCTAATCTGGTATAGGAAGGAATGCGCACCTACTTATAAACAGCTTGGATCCGCACACAGACCACATCTCTCCAAGTGTACCGAGCCCAGCAAGGGAACATAGCCAAAAAAGTCCCGCAGGACGTAGTCAGTCGCCTTCTTTTTTTCGTGACCGCTAAGTGCCATTTTTGGAAAGGCCGAGCGGCAGGATGCAAGCCCAATGTCGAAGGACATGGTGACTATCGCGTAGTGCACCCCAAAAAAATCCGACGTGCTCTATGGTAGACAATCAAGCCTTTTCCACAAGCAAGAAACCATACCCCAGTTCAGAGTACGTGAAGAAAATACAAAAGAGAGATTTTTTGGTTATTGGGCTCAGCAATTGTGCGCAAACCCTATAGACAAGAGCCAAAAAGGATGCTGCGTTCTCACCTCCGCGACGAGAATCGCCGCAGGACCAGTCGATTAAAGCCTCCTAATCTCCATTGAAGATATTGCAGTTGCGTTCCTTTTTGGTGCTGTCTTGCTACTTTGCGGATGGAGGGGCGTTGTGGTTTTTGGGGGTGTCATGACTTGAATCATACACCAATTGCATGGTAATTGATGCCATGCTGCTTGCGCAAGGCCGCTTCCTTCCTGAAGACGGCTCGTCTGTTTGGTTGGGGTATGGAACGCGGGCTTCTGGAGTAGTTGCGTGTCAGGATCAGGACATCGTTACATAATACGGCCGAGGTCGCGGGTTGCGCGATCGGGCCGTACCGAACAGGGGCTAAGATGAACTGAGAACTGGGTAACGTTAAAGCACCAAGAGATCCCATTCAGTAGGAACCCTCAATACCAATATCGATGGATGGCTTACTGCTCGTTGTAATCCTCCTGGATATATACACTTAACTTTGAGGGATCGGCCCCCTTAGCGTTGCACTTCTCCTGATTCCCCTAACCATTTCGATTGCATGCCTTCACGGTGTTTTGTCTGTCGACTGAGACGAAAGGTGCGCTCCTCGATGTAGCATGGCGCGAATAAATTCTCTACATTCCATCCTCACCCGGATACCAGTCCCCTTTTCATCCCTCGATGCTTACCCACCTTAAGGAACACGCGACAGCTTCACCTGATCGAGGATGCTCGGCTTGGAAGGCGCTAAAGGCGTATTCTGCTTGGCCAAATTGTTATGCCTGCTTTCGGCCTCCGTTTAACAGAGACCTGCCTAATTTCTCTTGACAACCCTCCAGGGATGTGTCCAGGCCCCAAACCTCCAGACCTGTGATGCATGCCAACGCATGCACATTGAGTGTAATTGTGCGGTCACATCATGCCATAGTCCGACCAAAATGTGCCCTCATTAGGTGGCGTATGTCATGAAAACAGAGACCCCAGCGCTACGCAGATCTATCCAAGTAAGGAGACTCCTTTCATGATCCTGCCGGAAGGAAGAACCCTCTTCCAATGAAATCAAATCGGCTGTACTTAGAGTGAATGGTGGAAAGGATGAACGGTGGAATGAATGGCAGTGAGCGGCCCCGCCCAGTTCAAGGTTCACCCGGAAATGAGGACTCTGCACTAGGGGCACGAGATGATGCGTGTCAATATTGTTAAATGTTCCTCGTGTCGGCAAGGGAATTGTTGACTACAACCCCAATGACCCCCGATTATGTATGTATAGGGGCAAGAGTTGGAGGCGATGTTTGAGAGAAAGAAAGTCATCCTGACACAACATGCTCTTGGTTGTCGCAGCGCCAACTGTTGACGAACTTGTACTTCTCTCTAATGGGACCTGCAAAGAATTCTACGCGACTACGACCATCACCTCACATTATCTAGGCAAATGGCTACGAATCTGCCTCTATCGTTCACAATGTTGTACTGAGGAAGAACCCCATCTGAATTGCACTGCTGTAAAGATTGTTCCGATGCTTTATCTCACAGATAAGTTTACCAATTGCTCTCCATTTCTCCCATCGGCCGTGCCATGCTTCATACAATCCAAATGACTTGCTGGGCTTTCCAGATCTGCCCCCTCTCACACTGGGATATCACTTTGTCCCTTCTGAGTTCGAGAACTGTGCTGCATCTAAGTTGATTCCTCAGGTTTGATTGAATGCTCGGAATTGCTGCTACGGTGTTACAGTTAAGACATAACACCGGAATACCGAGCAGAAGAGCGATTCAGGCTGATTCCCATATCGACCATTAGCTTCGAGTTCTAGTCCAGATTGGGTTCCACCCATGTATTTAGGACCATTGACCAGCGAAAGCTTGCATGTCAACACAGGTCACCAACCTCAATTGACATCTCATGATCTTCCCTCGTGATTTCCCTGTGATTTCTCTCGTCTTGTCCCCGTATAAAAGCTTGTCTTAGCTCCGAGAGGTCCGTGACATACGGCTTGGTTTGCTCGGTGACGTGTGATTGCGTGTATAGTACTGGTCTTCCGAGTCGTGTTTGTTTGGCTCTCTCGGGCTTTCTCTCACTCATTTCATGGTTCATGTGCGTTTGTTTCCAATACATTGCGTGTAACTCCGTAGCATGTGACTTTTGTATTGAGACTAGAACGTGACTTGTATCGGAATGAGAACGAACGCGATTTCGAAGGAAACCGCGTGTTGGTGTGAGCTCCTACCAGCCTCTATTAGTATGTGAGCCCCTACGATCGGGAACGAGTCTGGGCTTAAGTCATCGCCTGTTTAGATGGGTTAGGCTTACACCATCACCCATTTGGGTAGAGCTAGCTTATGTCATCACCGGTTTGGGTGTAAAATAAAATGACAAAATAAATATTATTTTTGCTGAGGGCTGAGAAAGGCAAGTCGATTCAACTCATCATAAACATATTGAATATTGCACTGTGCTGTGAAGTCTTAATTTTGGCTCCGACGTGCCATTCATTCCGGTTTTCCTCCTCACACTTCTCCATATATAGCATTATCTTCTCTCCTGATCGTAAATACCCCCCTCCAGCATCATCTTCATCATTTTAACCTGAGACTTGATGCCTTCACGTTGCTTTACCTGTCGACTCAAAGGAAAGGTGTGTTCCCCCAGATTCCATTAACCATTTAACCACCTACCACAAACCCTTGCTGGTCCGCTGCGCATGTGCATATTTTCCTTGGAGTACAACAAGGCTTCACTCGATTGGAGAACCCGGCATGGTGGTGCAATGATGCCTGCAGGGGGATATCTGACTTCTTGGCTCTCACCTTGTGGTGTGGACCATCGTGTTCTATGTCAGAGATGCCTGGCTTGGGCTTGTAGCCTCCACCACTTCCATTGCCTCCGTCAACTATTTCCTTTCTCTTCTTTTTTTGTGTAACCTACCATGATGACATTCACTGGACAGCCTGCGGCTGTCTGGAGGTTGGGGGAGGTCGAGGAGGTGGTAATAGACGCATCGCGTTGCTCAGACCGTGGATTTGTTTTATGTTGTTTACTATGTCACTATGTCACAAAGTTGTGACTTCCTTTTATGGCAGTCATAGCTGGAAGGGACACTTGCTCACATCGGTTTTTAGGGATGCATCGAGCCCCCAAATTCCCAATCTTGCGTTCCATGTGACAGGATGCGGATCGAATGCATTGCTTGCCCGATGACAATATCCAGTGAGGTGAAGGTATGTCTTCCGCTATTGGGTTGATAGATTCTCTTAACAAACGGAATGATTCACAGAGATCGGCTAGGGCCCGGGAGTGTTTGCGTGAGGTTAAAAGGCTGGCAGAACCTGGGCGTGCATGGATCGGTGTGTATGATCACTCAAGACCCCGTTCAACACCGTGATCACCCTTCTCTGTCTCTGTATGTAGCACAACTTCCAAAGACTCGCAAGTTCCTTCTAGACTTGCAATCAATCCTTGAAGACTCAATGGGTCAAAGCGTAGCTGAAGGAGGCCCCACCCAGCCCACTGCTGCCTTGCCGGTGGCGGCTCCGCTTCAAGCACCTCATATGCTAGAGAGCCAAGCTCCCACCGACTTGCCCAATGGTGAACTGCCTACTACAGCCGTTTCGGCGAACTATATCGACGCCGCGTCAGCTGTTAATGGGCCTCCCCACGCATTTCCTGTGGAGATAGAAGTGCTGCCTGGCCTCCAAACACAAACCCTACCCCACCCTATCCTAGGATTGGGGGATGGGCCCGCTTCCATTGATCCTACCCCGCTTAATATGACGCCGCTCTTCTCCCAATTCAACCCTAACCCCGAAATGACTTTCCATTTCGAGAATTCAAACCTTGTGTTGGACAGTAACGTGATCCAGGAGGATCTTGCTGGGCCTTCCAGATCTCGCATAGTCGATCCAGAGGCAATCGTTGCTGCATTTGAAACTCCTGATCGTCAACAAGATAGGTGGTTGGGGACGAACTCAAATGAGGATGTTGTCTACTGGCTTCAAGGCCTGGCCCAGAGGTTAGGGTATCTCCTTGTCCCTCTCTGAGTCGATGTGGGCGGCGGTGGTTCTTCTGGACTGAGAAATGTACTGTACGTGCAAGTTGATTCCTCGCCACTTTGAATGTTCGGAAATTGCTTTTATGACTCAGTTTGCTCCGTAGTGTGTGATTGGTCTGCATATTACCAGTGGTCTTCCGACTCGTGTTTTCTGTGTTGTTTTGCCTTCCCCATGCTATGTATAGAGTCGGTGATCTCTTCTTCTCGCTAGATGTGTGGCGATGTTTGTTTCTACACCTCGTTGTTGCCTGATGCCAGAAAGATTCATTGCTTTTCTTCTGGTTCGGTTCAGAGTCGGAGTGAATGGTGGGGGGTGATTAAATTGTTACAAGAGGAGGGAAGAGTGTGGCAGAGGCTGGGATCCTGGCATCGGAGCTGGATCAAAGCTGGATGATCGCAAAGCTGGTCCGCGGATTCTGAGTAGGCCGCCCTCAATTTCGAATTCTGGTGGAACCCTCTATGGCTTTCGCAGGTTAGATGGGGTTCTGCATAAGGGTTTGTGGTGAAAGAGTCTCATGCTTTCCGTCAGGCGGTTCAATTTAATCGCGCTCTTCGGCATCCGCCACCTTGAATGACCATGACGACTTAAGTGCAATTGAGTTACGGCCAATTATCTCCTCTATCTCTCGATTCAGCCCTGGCCGTGCACCTGCCATCACAGACACAGGATGCTAAATGAAGCCGTCACTCCCGGACTCCAGCCTCCGTGACTTCGTAATATAACTCCCACCCTGTCCTCCGGAGACTCGACAATTCCAATGGGGGCGCGATCCGGGACAGGGGCCAGGTAGAACGGTTTTTCAGTAAGGTGGCCGGCCACCCTTTGGAGAACCTTTCGTATTGCAAGACCAAGTGATCTGTTTCTGAAGGTGGGCCCTGGGATGAATGAATGTAAGCAGATTATTTTCATGCTTTATTGATTGGGTCCTGACTGTCTAATTTTGGCGGAAAACAGCATGAGGCCCAGCGGTTCACCCTATCCTCAAACTTCTGATCATATCCTTGCCGCTAGCCTCAGGCGAAGTTCGGACGATAACGTCACGGATAGGAAAGGTAGCGACGAGGTTCTCCACGTAAAGCGTCCGCTTCGTGCGAACTGGAAAAAACTGAATAGCATGAATGGTTTAGATCTAGAGTCATTCAGTGCGTCTCATTTCTTAATTTCAGTCATGAAAGGGATCTGTTTGGTGACGAAATAAATGTGTTGACTCACCCACGGAATTCAGATCACATATTTTCCATAGGCCAGTACCTATAGTTCTGGTCAATCGAAAACCTAACTTGTTCGGGATGAGGTACAAGGTGCTGAATACCACGAGCGTAACTATAAAACATGGGACCGTGCATAATCCGTCCTCGGCGTGTTGAGACCGGTATGTGATGGGTCCCCATTTTCTGTTGTGTTGACATTGCATGCATACCTTGTTCCGCTTCTCTTCGTTCGATAGCACAAGACAGTTTATTTCATATTGGAAATCGGAGCAATCGAGCCTCGGAGATGCAGCAACTCAGCCTGTAGCTGACCCGAGAATCCCCGCAATGGCCTCCTGTCAAACACAACTCACGGATGGGGAATCCAAATGGATGCTGTTTTGGCCTGCGAGATGTCTGTTGCAGTTCTGCCAACAAACGATCTCGGAGACGTGCCAGTTATCAATGAGGCGCCATCCTCTATGTCGGGGTCATATGGATTCTTGATGAAGCACCTTACTGCATGTCGGCTCCCCTTATACCACCCATATCCCCACTCCTGGGACAAGCTTCTCCATTAGTAAGACCATCTTCCCTAGCTTGGCGCCCGCCTTCCACTCAGCGACTCCCAACCATCGGGTGGTATCCTACAACGAGAATCGGAATCCTCCGGTGCCAGACAGCTCGCATAGCGCCGTTAACTATGGAGATGTTGGGCCTACAGCCCTCTATCCACACTTCAACGTCGCGAGTTTGCTTAGAGATCTGGCTTGGGATATGGGATACTGCCTCATCCCTCGGGGAGCCAGCATTTCCGATGGTGGCGCTCTTTTCATTTAATGGTTTGAGCGTAAGTATCTTTCTTTTCTCTGCATGATTTAGTGACGATGAATTATTGGTGAAAGCTAGCCGATTCTATCCCCAATGGCTTCAGTGTTTGGATGTCCCGCGCCATCAGTTCGATCCTCGAGTGCTTGTGAGGCTCGCGACCTCGCGCATCTTTTTTTTTGCTCCCATACCTGTGTTAGTTAGTCATCCGATTCCTTACTTGGTCTCAAGGCGACCGACTTGTCAACTAGCATCGCACTGCCTCTGCTCTCCAAAAGCGGTTGTTCTTGAGTTCTGGTAGTGAACCAATTAAACATGTTGCCTCGTGCACTCACAATATTGTGTACGTCTCTATGAACAACAATATTGCTTCGGAAGCAAGGCTGGCTCGGCTCCGTCCGCTAGGTGCAGTGAGCTGCACCCGACCAGGGCGGGCTCCTCTTGTTGGTAAACCTTGACTGTTACTCAGCTCGACTCTTTTAGGGATTAGTGATTCCCTTGATTCTTCTGCAGTCCATCGGATTACCCTGAACTTCCACACGTTGGAGCCAGGAGTTTTCACGAGCGCTACTAGCGCCTTGCTAGTGCTTGCAAAGTAAACCAGAATCCAGCCACCCGATGAGGACCCCGCGGATTCCGCTTGCCGCCGACATGGTTGATAACCTTTGAGACACCCAAGATCGCAACCAACCCTCGCAACCACCGAACGGAGATCTTCCGTTGGAAGTGCCTCGCGGGTGAGGATATTGCCGACGGTGAACTCGATTGCATCCGACGTGTTCTGCGAGGCCGCAACTAGGTCGGTGGGTCGGACCCTGGTAAATCGGAACAAAACTATGAACATATTTGGTGCTCAGGATGCTTACATGAAGCTGCTGGGAGATACGGAGGACGCATTTAGCTCAGGCTCAGACACAGCCGCTGATCTAGCTCCAAGCAGGTCAGGGACAATCTGGAGTGCCTGGTTCGATGAGAGATCCGCGGACTTCAGTATCAACTCAACGTGCTCCGGATTGCTCAGGCGTGTCCAACAATGCCAGCTTGCACATCCCTCTCCCCTTGTGACATGTCTCCTTCGGTGTGAGAACACTGTTCGGACACCTTGGCTCAGCACCCCTCAACTAATTGAACGCCGTCCAACATCATGTCCAGGCCCGCAGCGCACCATGAGTCCCAATCATTGGGACGAGTTCAAGGCGCCCGCCACGCAACTTACATACTATGCGTCGCCACTTCATCCTTAGCCACCCCTACTCCTTCAAAGCGTCCCCCCATTCTCTATAAATGCGGCAGTACATTTTCTACCGAATAGACAAAATACAACAGTCCTGACAATAAGCATTCATGCAAGTGATGTCAATGATATTGAGCACATGAGATGTGCTGCTGAGTTCAAAATAGAAATGGACTAGGACGAGTCCTGCTGGCGCTAGATTCCCAACTCCCCACAAGGAATCCTCTGCATCGCAACTTAGCTTCCATGTGCGTGCTTGTAGGGAAAGTCCGTATCTTGAAATTTGTGGCGTAGAGTAAAGGCGGCTGGTATATAATCGTTTGTGTCTGCCAAATCCTCACAGATGAGTAAGCGTTCTACTTTAGTAGAGGCTGGGATCCTGCCTAGGTGAGCGTCCGACATACCGAATTGTGTTGGAGTGCGCTGATACCTTATAAGTCCTGGAGATGATGATTAGAATGAATTCAGCGTGAAATGGGAGACGAAGATGCCTTGTACATGGGTGGGGGCCGGGCGATAACGAGAAATAAAGAATTGAATGATGCGGAATGAAGGGAGGATGATAAGAAAATGATCAGTGCCAGCACTGTCATCTCACTCCATGCGAGATGGCGTGCATCGGCCAAAAACCATACCTGGCAATGAGAAACCCATTCTAATCACGAATCGGCAATATTTCTGTCTGAAATCGTATCTTCTTTGCGCAGCTTGAAATTTTACGCGTGATAATTGTTTCTCTCCGGAGTGAATGATGGAGAGGCAATTTGGATAGAGAAGGTGATGCCCCACAACGACAATTGTATTCGGTAAGAACTTCCGGATTCAATTCAGTCGTGCTCTTCGGCATCGGCAGTACTCCAGCTCTATGACTTCGTAATGTTATGCATGACGCTGCTTGAGGTCATCATGACTAGCGAACGCCACTCGACAGTGACGACTTTTGTAGTCGTGGCGGCTTATACACTCCATCATCCTCATTCTATCCTCGACGATTTCCAATGACACAACCACTCGTCAAATATGGGCATGGATCGCCTTTTCAGTCACACAGCCCCTCGGGCAAAGTTTGGGCGGTGGCGTGGCAGGTCGGGAGGGGGTGGTGGCATCGGTGTCCGCCGCGCAAAGCGTCCCCTTCCCAATAAAAGCTGAATAGCATGAACGTGTGATTCAGAGGTGCCGAAACCATTTTGTGCGTCACATTATATGCATAATCCAGATTATTATTAAAAGGATTTATTTGGCAATAGGTCCACCACATGAGCCAGTACCTATAGTTCGAAGATGGGGGTAAGTACCTCATTCAGGTTGCTTCAGGGAGTGCCTCGTAGGTTGAAATGTTTCGGCCTCGGTGCTTACTCACCTTGGATTGACGCACGACAGCTTCACTTAATTGAGGGTGCAGTCTTGCCTGGCTAGATTTCCTGCTCTGTCGCGGGGTTCTGCTGGGATTCTCGTTTTAATCGGTCAGCTTTCACGAATCAACTGTGACGGGTGGCCTTCAACAGGCTGTTAACTTGAGACCTCGGGGTGGCAAATGTATGCCCTATCGCCGACATTGTTACTAGAATAAACGAGTTTCTTGCCTTGACAACTCTTCAGAAATCTGTCCAACTCCTGATCGCATATGGTCCCAAGGTTGGCGCCAAATCCTTGAAAAATTCTTTCCTCGCGACTTGGATGTGCAGTCCAAAGTTTGATCCGGAGATTATAATTAGAACACGGACGTCATATAGGCCGGAGAAGGGCTTCTTGTCTAATTGTCATAGGATTACTCGCGCTAGACCGATTTAGGCAATGCGACCTATATATAATAGGTGCTGACGCGCGGCCTTCACGAACTTATCTTAGCCGCCCCACGTGTACAGCGCTTACACGATCATGAATTCTATGCGAGTCTCGCGACCTCCTAGTCGATATCCTGAGCTACACATGCATGCTTCAGAGACGTGTCTTATGTGTTGAGTCTGTTGAATAATGTATTTCATCCCCGCGCGTGCGCTGCGCTTGCGCGCAGCGCTCAGGCTCTGGTACGCTCTTTACCTTGCGACCCGTACGAAATTTATTTATCATCGCTTGTCGTCCAGACATCTCAAGAGGCTGACTTGCGAGACTTACATACACCGATAAGCGCCCACCTGTTAGAAGCTTCTGGCATGGCCGCGCGGTATCACACTTTCATATCTCTGTGGCCAATTGATACGGTTCAAGTACACCCAATTCATCCCAACCGCCAGATAGTGTGAGCGCCTCCGCAGAAATCAATGCCCAACACTGTGAACCAGTCCTCGACCCCCCGTGGATTCTCATCATCCAACGTGGGCTAGTCCAGGATACACAGTATTCTAAGGCTTCAGCTAGCATCCGATCAACTGCGGTCGGGGAGCGTGTTACAGGAGCCGATGTCGAAACTCACCCGTTGTGCCTAGTAGCACAGTACCCCACTCTACTTATAATTGCCATATTGACCTTCTATAAAGGACCCTGCACGTGTAAGCAGCTTGAGCTGCTATGAATTATATAAACCGGTTGTGCGAGACCACGTTTCCACACCAGCTCTCTAAGAGTGCCAAGTCCAGAGATGAAGCGGCAAGAGAGCAAATCACCCGCGTGTGTTGAACCTGGTGTTGTGAGATGGCACCAGAATCACAGGCAAGCCATTTGAAAGGGGGAAAGGGGTAGGGACTGAAGACTGACGAGCTCGATAGGAAAAAAATGTGTGTGGAAGATGAGATTGGGGAAGGTGAAAGCGGATCAACGCCTATATTGAGCGAAAGCTATGTGAATGTACGGAACCGTTCTCTCCCCCAGCGATGAGCCGGCAGATTTGTTTGACTTGCTAATAGTAACATTCTAGCAACGGCCGTAAAGTGAGCACAGCACGGACATACTGGCTGTTTCAGTTGACGTGCTGGCGGGCCGGGGCCGTCGTCGTGTTCTTGTTGGATCATCAAAACTGCCGGTTCACTGTACTTGAGGAGCTGCTCATAACCGAAGCTGTGCTACAGCCCACTGAGGCCAGGCTACAGGTTGGTATCCAGATCGGGTTTCAGGGTAGATAGCTTCGATATGCAAGCGGCCAGCTCACGTACTCTGAACTGAGGCATGGTTTCTTGTTCGTGGGAAAAGTTTGTCGGGGTTCCCCGGGCCGTCCCGTGCCGCCAGTCGCCTCGTCAAGTCAGAATGAGTTCAGTGGGTAGTGGGTGGAAGTATATAAAAGGGTACCACCCCATCACGCCCTGGAAGCTATGATACCGGTCATCGAAAACGGTTTTATTTAAAACCACGCACATACTCTTCCAGTTAGGTAGATTTGGGGTTAAAGAGAGCTGTCAAACGATTGTCAACGTGCTTCTCTGATTTGGCATTTTGCTCAGGGGTCTGAAGGCCAGGCCGCTTCGGCCGGAGCCAAGAGGCAAGTGCGCGCGCATCAGTGGCGCGAATGTTACAATCTGGAAGAGACTGCGTATGGTAGGTAGAAAGTTGTTTGGAAATGTGATTAGACACAGTTTTTAACTGAATGGACGCTAGAAGGTACTGACAAATGCAGACAATGAACATTTCGGCGGTCTCGATGCCAAGTGGATGTATAGCAAGCACATGTGCCACAGAGAGTCGAGAAGGGGAAAACAGCGGTACCAGAAGATTACGAGTCTGACGTACAAGCACTCAGGAATAAAAACTACAGAAATGTTCCAAAACGGGGAAATAGTTACTACAGACGACGATAAGATGGCAGAACTATCTGTATCTCGGCGACGTTCAGTTGGATATTCTGAAATGGAAAAAGGACACTCACACTAGAACCATAGGGTAAAAAAAAAAAGTCTAGGAGATCACATTCGGGAAAAAAAAGAAACAGTAACTTCAAAGCGGAACAAGACGATATCCCATACTCCCAGCCAAACCAGAAAGCCAAATATAAGCATCCGAGTTCGTCGAGGAACTCGAACACGTTTCTAGGCGAGTTTCAGCCGGCGTGCTATTCAATGGTGGGTCGCGAGCGCGAGATGGTCCAGCAGGAAGTTCATCGTTGGCAGCGCGGTGCGATGACGTTGCAGTAGTAGGGTCGAAGTTTTCGCTATTATAAGTTGACATTCCCCAGTGAGGAGTGATGTCGAAGAAGGAAGATGCGAGGTTGGGGAAGGCAAATTCACCATGGGGAAGATGCTCCGAGTAAGCGAGGGATGAGGCGTCCAGGATGGGCCCTTCCCTATTCCCACCGAGCGCATGTGGAGACAACCCGAGTACAGGCGTTGGGAGGATCATCGTCGAAGTGGAAGAGGTATTACCAAGGAAAGGGATGGTGCCCAAGTTATTTGTTGATGAGACTGCAATAGGGAGTGGTCCATCCAACGAAAGATTCTCCGCGTTACTCTGCGATGCGTGAAAGGGGGTCGGAGAAGTAATAGTGGACGGTGCCAGTGTTCCTGAACCACTTGCAAGCTGACGGGTGTCATCCCCAGAGTTCGATTGCAAACCTGAGAGAAAATCGCGTGTTTTTGGAAGAGGCGCTACAGAATGATGGAGGAAATGGGTGTTAGATAAAGCATGCAAGGGACATGAACTATGTAGCACGCCACGCACCTGTCTCTACGCCTTCACGTCTGGTATGTCTAGTAGCAGCCAGTACTCTAACCTCCTGCAGACATTCCTGGGCTCTCACAGACGCCTGTATGTTTCCCAAACTTCATTTGTGAGGTGAACCATCGGCGCACCCGTCAAAATACTTACCCTGACTGCATTGGGGATCTTGATCGGACACGCAATGCACTCAACTCGCATCCACTTGCACGCATCACAGCCTTGGTGATTTGGAAGCCAAACGCATCTCTACAGAGTTCAAGAAAAAAAACCGGTGAGGAAAAGGTCCACTCGCATGGGTCAGAACTGTTGGATGAGAAATGGGCCGGACTACGTTGGAAGTTGGGTGGTTGAGCTGACGGAGTTGGCCTTTTGAATGACCGGATGCACAAGATCCTCGGATCTATGCTGCTCATGATAATATTGTGCGTCACCCCAAGGCGAGCGAGCCCTGAGAAAACGTTGGATGGAGACCGAGAAGAAACATGCAAGTCGTAAAAGTGTGTTCACAGTGTAAAGCACGCACCTTTCCTCTCAATCGGCAAACAAAGCATGAAGATGAAGGCATCGGGCGAACGTAGTCGGAGGAACTAGCTGGCGAAGTACAAGGCCGAAGGAATGATGGGCCCCCCTTCTCTTAAATCATTTTTGACAACCCAAGAAGAATAGATTTGGTGCACGGTAGCCTCGGATCGCTTGCGCGCCTCGCTGCAAATTCATGCAGTGTTTTCCCGGTCCTTGACGAACAAATGGTTGGGGCAGTGAGTGAATTTACTTCCAGGGGAAGCACCTCCTCCATTGAAACTTTATCGTATGTATATACTTGTCGCTGATTGCCGCTAAAATCTTCGGCTTTATTCATGCCAATTGGCATCGTCTGGACACTGGCAGTCTGAAGCGAAAGCAGCATTTCCCGACTGGCGCTTTGGTGACGCCCAAAGAAAGCTGTTCACCTTGAAGTTGGTTAAAGTCTTCACCAAGTCGGCTATCTCAAAACCCAGACATGCGGCCTGCCCCACAGAGCGCTAGCTTTACATCCAGGAATCGGCTTGATGATCGGACGGTGCTTGGAGGTCCACCCGGTCATTTCTCAAAGGTACTAGCCCCCTTCGCCAGCTAGTGGGTCACCGATCGTCTGCCATCAAATATTCCGGATCGGAATAATCAGTCTTTCTCTAGCGAATCTCGGATCGACAGCCCGTGGCACCGAAGGCAGTCCCCACCGAGGGAAGAAGTATTGAACCTCGTCCGCTAGTTACTCCACTCCCGATCTCCCTCGATCGCTCAACGACCTGTGCCCCCGCCAAGAGACATCCCAACCGGCAGTACATTCAATACTAATACCGGATGGTAACCCGAATCTTCAATTATAAGTGCAATTCAGCTTCGCTTATACTTGTAGGTGCGCCCTGATTTCATTTTCTATTCCAGAATTGAGCAATACATTACGCCTTTGAGGCCTAGATTAGGCTGGGCTGTGACTTACATAAAAAAGGATCTTATGTGTTACATATATACATTCTGTAAAAATAAGACAAAACATATTCACGCATTCATTGACGTGCCTTACGGTCCGGAGCCCCAAAAGGAAGCGTCTGGCGCACGGGGAACATGACGCAACGCAAGCGATGCAGTACTTAAACACTTTCTCCACATCCCAGAGCCGGAAAGTTGGGCCGAAGCTAGGTGGTTTCATTCGTTACATAGTCCCCGAATGAAGTGGATAGAGGTGCTAAATAAGGAGAAACTACTTGTTCAACGACTGCGACACGCACTGGCATATTTATGCAATTAGAGGAATCAATGGAAAAAACGTATCCAGTCGATAAACGTTCTCACGTTCTGTACTCAATACAAAAGATCACATGCGACACTTCGCTCCTCCGAAATGTAGTATGGCAGTGCTACGGCACTTTCCGGCCCCTGTCTTCCCACAGGAAACAAGGCTTGCTTCAAGGGCTCTAATCACCACACCCCTCCCCAACCCAACACAGAAAAAATCCAAAACAAATGTAGTAGTTAACCCCACCCAAAATTATCCCAGCCCAGCCCCTTCTTGTCCTTATGTGCTAAAATTATGTTGGAACTTTGTATCGCGCACTCAGCACTTTGTCATTATTGAGCCCAGTCAAGGGAAAAACATGGTAGACTTACCTAATCATAGCCCAACCTTGTTTCTGCAAAAATGAACTCGAAGTGGTACACAAATCCCAAACATGTGGGGCAATACATAATAGGGGGCCTCACAGTTGATTAAAGTGGGGCTAAACTGGTTTCCAAAGTAGTTTGAAATTGACCTAAATTCCACCTCAAGTGGGGCCCGAGTTTAGAGCGAGTTTAGGTTGAGTTTAGGTCACTTCAAGGGCATTCAAAGTTGGGGTGGTTCTAAAGTGTGTCCAAAGTAGCTCGGACCCGGATCTCATAAGTCCGTTCCGTTCCGTGGTCATGCAATCACTATACTTCTGAATGCCATCTACTTCCGACTGCCAGCTCCTCATACATGCAGCCCTCCAGCACACTCTTCGAATACATGCACATCACCATCAACAATGCCAACGTCTAAGATCAAGGAACCGCTCTTTGAGTTCTAGTTCAAACACTGACAACTCCAGTGACAACAGTGTGACATTCATGTCAAGCGGTAGTGGCAGTAGCAGTAGCAGTAGCAGCAGCACCAACAACAATGGTGACAATGGTGATAACAGTGGCAACCACAACACCTCCGGTCTATCTTTGTCATCTAATGCTGAATGTGGCCATGCTCTGCAGTCTCTCCATCACTCCTACTTCCAGTCCATGTTCCATGCATGATCCTTTCTCTCTGGCCTCCTTTCCACCTGTGTCCTATTTCCACATGAGGTTTCAAAATGTAGCCAGCTAGGGCTTGTCCTCATATGTTACAAAGATGATGACCCTGTGCGCTTCCGTCGAAATCTCCGTATCTCACCTTGCACATTTGATGTTCTCATCTCCCTCATTCAAGACCCCTCCTTTCTGTCAGGGACCGGTCCGGGGTCGAGAGCATCCGGGTATATCGCCCAGCGCTGAGGGCCTGGTAGGTATGAAGCGAGCATGTATGGCAGCAGGTCCGGCACAGGCAGATGTCCCTGAAGTGGGAATAGTGAGAAGAAGATTGCTTCTTTGGTTCCCACCCCAGGTATGTTTATATACATGGTGCTTGGGTCACATGAGGATTGCCATGTCATCCTCATGCACAGCCCCAGCCATCCGGGTATCCCTGTGGGGATCCTGAAGAGATCTGCTGCAGGCGTGCGTGCTGGGTACACCTGGGGGTCATCTGGAGTATCCAGGGCTGGGTGTGTCGTGTGTGGACTGTGGGCGGGTCAATGGTACATCGATCAAGGAAAGTTGTCCATGTAAATAGAAATAGAAAGAATAAAGAATGATACAGAGGAAGGATGGAAAGAGGGGGGAAGTAGAAGGAGGAGGAAATAGGAAGGGGGAGAAGGGGGTAGCGGGTGGAGTGGAACCGGGTGGAGCTGGGTGGAGCTGGGTGGAGCCGGGTGGCGCGGGTGTGCCCTGACTGTTACGAGGATGGGGAGAACTCCCCTTTCCTCGATCCGTTCTTATAGAGGGATGACGATCGTTGTATCCAGTCTGTACCATAACGGGATATGTAATCGATGAGTGTTCCCAGTCTTGCATGGGAGTGGATGATCAAATTCCCATCGATCATGGTTGGTGATGTAGTGAGCTATTAAGGAATTGATGGTAGTGTCAGGGACTGACCCAGGGTCGAGAGCATCTGGGTATATCGCCTGGGGCTGAGGGCCTGGCAGGGTGTAGCGCGGTGTAGGTGGGATAATCGCCCACGCACAGACCCGGCTCGGATACCCGATTCTATGATTAGGAAACGACTTTCATTCACGCGATGACTCGGTACAAATTTGGTATCTAAAAACAGTCCTAATTCGTACGATTCTGACGATATCAAGAACGTCCCAATCGGTGGAGATTTGATGGAGTTCCGTGTTGGAGAAGTTAGGCACAGCAGGTCACTGTCATATCCGTGCATACCCGACCCCGACCCGACTTCCGGACCTCCACCCTCTTCACCTCCGGAGTCATAACCTACCGCTGCCGTTCTGATACTCACCTTCGGTCCTGGCAACACATCTCCTCCTTACCTCTCCGACCCTATCTCCGTCCGCTCCGATACTCACCTCAGACTGAACACCACCCCTCTCGCCACCCTCCTACTACTCCGCTCCCCCTTCACAACACCTCCACCCTCCCGTCATCCTCCTACGCTTCCCCTGTCCGCTCCGATACTCACCTTCGGACCTGACTACTCTCCTTTCCGCCACTCCTTCTCCCTTACCTTTCCCCTCTCTCCTCCCTCTGTTACTCCTCCGCCACCCTTCCGCCAAGTTACGACCTTCCACCGCTGTCCCGTACTTTGCACTTGGACACTGCTCGTACCTTGCTCCGAGCCTCCGTCATAGTCCCTACCTCGGACTTTGACTCCACCTCGGTCTTAGTCCATTGCATTGGTAACCTCATACTACGTAAACACCATTGCCAATATCCCTCGGACTTTCAACCCCGCCTCTGTAACCTCCATAAGCTCTGCAACCCCCAAGCTTCGCGGATCGCCTTCAGCACTCTCGCCACTTGTAATGTATTTCTCGCGTTTTCCCCTCATCCCTATTTGGACTACTGCTTCTTCCTATTCTAGCCAGTTAGTCATCATCCCCACTTCCCCTCATCCTCCTGCCCCTCTGGGCCTCGCCCTCCCTACCTCCTTTCGGACATATCACAGGTCCTGCCTTATGACCTTCGGTACCGCTCCGCTCCTTCTACCCTTTGTTCCCGTTCGGACATCTTCATTCCGATTCGGTTACCCTTTGTTTTCCTTGTGCTTTTGCCCCTTCCATTATATATATCGGCGCTTGTACATACTCGTTTTGGTTTAGTCCGAAATCGACCTGAAATGCCCCCTAGAGACTTCCTGCTCACCTACTGTGAAATTAAGGACCAAATGGACAAACAGCAATGGCACAGCGCTCCGCTTGAGTCGCTGAGGCCAAGGTCCCTCCACGCTAAGTCTCCGATTCCACTCCGGAGTCGTCTGTTTCCGCCCGGTTCTAACAGTCATGGGCATGTGCGGGCATGGAATCTCAAGTGGCAACCCAGAATT